CTCCAATCCTGTCCCCCTCCCCCTTATCCCTGCACCCACCTCAAGTGCTACGGTACACTGACGAGGAATACAAGAGCCTGCTCTACCACCCTGTTATCTCCTAGTTCCTCCGATCCTGTCCCCCTCCCCCTTATCCCTGCAGCCACCTCAAGTGCTACGGTACACTGACGAGGAATACAAGAGCCTGCTCTACCACCCTGTTATCTCCTAGTTCCTCCAATCCTGTCCCCCTCCCCCTAATCCCTGCAGCCACCTCAAGTGCTACGGTACACTGACGAGGAATACAAGAGCCTGCTCTACCACCCTGTTATCTCCTAGTTCCTCCAATCCTGTCCCACTCCCCCTTATCCCTGCAGCCACCTCAAGTGCTACGGTACACTGACGAGGAATACAAGAGCCTGCTCTACCACCCTGTTATCTCCTAGTTCCTCCAATCCTGTCCCCCTCCCCCTTATCCCTGCAGCCACCTCAAGTGCTACGGTACACTGACGAGGAATACAAGAGCCTGCTCTACCACCCTGTTATCTCCTAGTTCCTCCAATCCTGTCCCCCTCCCCCTTATCCCTGCAGCCACCTCAAGTGCTACGGTACACTGACGAGGAATACAAGAGCCTGCTCTACCACCCTGTTATCTCCTAGTTCCTTCAATCCTGTCCCCCTCCCCCTTATCCCTGCAGCCACCTCAAGTGCTACGGTACGCTGACGAGGAATACAAGAGCCTGCTCTACCACCCTGTTATCTCCTAGTTCCTCCAATCCTGTCCCCCTCCCCCTTATCCCTGCAGCCACCTCAAGTGCTACGGTACACTGACGAGGAATACAAGAGCCTGCTCTACCACCCTGTTATCTCCTAGTTCCTCCAATCCTGTCCCCCTCCCCCTAATCCCTGCAGCCACCTCAAGTGCTACGGTACACTGACGAGGAATACAAGAGCCTGCTCTACCACCCTGTTATCTCCTAGTTCCTCCAATCCTGTCCCACTCCCCCTTATCCCTGCAGCCACCTCAAGTGCTACGGTACACTGACGAGGAATACAAGAGCCTGCTCTACCACCCTGTTATCTCCTAGTTCCTCCAATCCTGTCCCCCTCCCCCTTATCCCTGCAGCCACCTCAAGTGCTACGGTACACTGACGAGGAATACAAGAGCCTGCTCTACCACCCTGTTATCTCCTAGTTCCTCCAATCCTGTCCCCCTCCCCCTTATCCCTGCAGCCACCTCAAGTGCTACGGTACACTGACGAGGAATACAAGAGCCTGCTCTACCACCCTGTTATCTCCTAGTTCCTCCAATCCTGTCCCCCTCCCCCTTATCCCTGCAGCCACCTCAAGTGCTACGGTACGCTGACGAGGAATACAAGAGCCTGCTCTACCACCCTGTTATCTCCTAGTTCCTCCAATCCTGTCCCCCTCCCCCTTATCCCTGCAGCCACCTCAAGTGCTACGGTACACTGACGAGGAATACAAGAGCCTGCTCTACCACCCTGTTATCTCCTAGTTCCTCCAATCCTGTCCCCCTCCCCCTTATCCCTGCAGCCACCTCAAGTGCTACGGTACGCTGACGAGGAATACAAGAGCCTGCTCTACCACCCTGTTATCTCCTAGTTCCTCCAATCCTGTCCCCCTCCCCTTATCCCTGCAGCCACCTCAAGTGCTACGGTACGCTGACGAGGAATACAAGAGCCTGCTCTACCACCCTGTTATCTCCTAGTTCCTCCAATCCTGTCCCCCTCCCCCTTATCCCTGCAGCCACCTCAAGTGCTACGGTACACGGACGAGGAATACAAGAGCCTGCTCTACCACCCTGTTATCTCCTAGTTCATCCAATCCTGTCCCCCTCCCCCTTATCCCTGCAGCCACCTCAAGTGCTACGGTACGCTGACGAGGAATACAAGAGCCTGCTCTACCACCCTGTTATCTCCTAGTTCCTCCAATCATGTCCCCCTCCCCCTTATCCCTGCAGCCACCTCAAGTGCTGCGGTACACGGACGAGGAATACAAGAGCCTGCTCTACCACCCTGTTATCTCCTAGTTCATCCAATCCTGTCCCCCTCCCCCTTATCCCTGCAGCCACCTCAAGTGCTACGGTACGCTGACGAGGAATACAAGAGCCTGCTCTACCACCCTGTTATCTCCTAGTTCCTCCAATCCTGTCCCCCTCCCCCTTATCCCTGCAGCCACCTCAAGTGCTACGGTACACTGACGAGGAATACAAGAGCCTGCTCTACCACCCTGTTATCTCCTAGTTCCTCGAATCCTGTCCCCCTCCCCCTTATCCCTGCAGCCACCTCAAGTGCTACGGTACACTGACGAGGAATACAAGAGCCTGCTCTACCACCCTGTTATCTCCCAGTTCCTCCAATCCTGTCCCCCTCCCCCTTATCCCTGCAGCCACCTCAAGTGCTACGGTACACGGACGAGGAATACAAGAGCCTGCTCTACCACCCTGTTATCTCCTAGTTCATCCAATCCTGTCCCCCTCCCCCTTATCCCTGCAGCCACCTCAAGTGCTACGGTACACGGACGAGGAATACAAGAGCCTGCTCTACCACCCTGTTATCTCCTAGTTCCTCCAATCCTGTCCCCCTCCCCCTTATCCCTGCAGCCACCTCAAGTGCTACGGTACACGGACGAGGAATACAAGAGCCTGCTCTACCACCCTGTTATCTCCTAGTTCCTCCAATCCTGTCCCCCTCCCCCTTATCCCTGCAGCCACCTCAAGTGCTACGGTACACTGACGAGGAATACAAGAGCCTGCTCTACCACCCTGTTATCTCCTAGTTCCTCCGATCCTGTCCCCCTCCCCCTTATCCCTGCAGCCACCTCAAGTGCTACGGTACGCTGACGAGGAATACAAGAGCCTGCTCTACCACCCTGTTATCTCCTAGTTCCTCCAATCCTGTCCCCCTCCCCCTAATCCCTGCAGCCACCTCAAGTGCTACGGTACACTGACGAGGAATACAAGAGCCTGCTCTACCACCCTGTTATCTCCTAGTTCCTCCAATCCTGTCCCCCTCCCCCTTATCCCTGCAGCCACCTCAAGTGCTACGGTACGCTGACGAGGAATACAAGAGCCTGCTCTACCACCCTGTTATCTCCTAGTTCCTCCAATCCTGTCCCCCTCCCCCTTATCCCTGCAGCCACCTCAAGTGCTACGGTACACTGACGAGGAATACAAGAGCCTGCTCTACCACCCTGTTATCTCCTAGTTCCTCCGATCCTGTCCCCCTCCCCCTTATCCCTGCAGCCACCTCAAGTGCTACGGTACGCTGACGAGGAATACAAGAGCCTGCTCTACCACCCTGTTATCTCCTAGTTCCTCGAATCCTGTCCCCCTCCCCCTTATCCCTGCAGCCACCTCAAGTGCTACGGTACACTGACGAGGAATACAAGAGCCTGCTCTACCACCCTGTTATCTCCTAGTTCCTCCAATCCTGTCCCCCTCCCCCTTATCCCTGCAGCCACCTCAAGTGCTACGGTACACGGACGAGGAATACAAGAGCCTGCTCTACCACCCTGTTATCTCCTAGTTCATCCAATCCTGTCCCCCTCCCCCTTATCCCTGCAGCCACCTCAAGTGCTACGGTACACGGACGAGGAATACAAGAGCCTGCTCTACCACCCTGTTATCTCCTAGTTCCTCCAATCCTGTCCCCCTCCCCCTTATCCCTGCAGCCACCTCAAGTGCTACGGTACACGGACGAGGAATACAAGAGCCTGCTCTACCACCCTGTTATCTCCTAGTTCCTCCAATCCTGTCCCCCTCCCCCTTATCCCTGCAGCCACCTCAAGTGCTACGGTACACTGACGAGGAATACAAGAGCCTGCTCTACCACCCTGTTATCTCCTAGTTCCTCCAATCCTGTCCCCCTCCCCCTTATCCCTGCAGCCACCTCAAGTGCTACGGTACGCTGACGAGGAATACAAGAGCCTGCTTTACCACCCTGTTATCTCCTAGTTCCTCCAATCCTGTCCCCCTCCCCCTAATCCCTGCAGCCACCTCAAGTGCTACGGTACGCTGACGAGGAATACAAGAGCCTGCTTTACCACCCTGTAAGGGTCTATCCTCAGTTGGGTGGTGTCTTGTGACTTGGCGTAAGATTCATGTCCCTCCTGTCCTCCAGCCACCTCAAGTGCTAAGGTATACTGACGAGGAATGCAAGAGCCTGCTTTACCACCCTGTAAGTCCTTTACCGTTTGTGCATTGAGTCGTTTCTCAAACAAGAGTCTGCTCGATCACCCCATAAATCTTCTAGCTTCTGCTCAAGAATCCACTCGCCTCTCGTCTCTTATTAGAAAAAAAAATATCAAGTACAATCTCCGCTCCGCCTTCTGTTATCCAATACCAAATCCATTACAGCGCCGGTCCCGGAAAGAAACAGACGCACTTATGAATCTCTGCGCAGCGTAACCCTAAAAAATAACCTGCAGCACTTATTAAGGCACTTTGAGAATCCACTCATCTCATGTTTCCGGTCTTTCTCCTTCACTTCTCCCATTATGTGATACGCCACCAGCGCTGGTCCCGGGAAGAAACCGATTCACTTTTGAGTCGACTCAAAAGCTGACTTTTGAGTCGACTCAAAAGTCAGCTAGATATCTGCACACGCACGCTTATTGAGGCACTTTAGGAATCCACTCGTCCAATGTCTCTCTTCGTTCTCCTCCAATTCTCCTCCCCTTATCCGTATGTGATATGCCCCCAGCGCTGGTCCCGGGAAGAAACAGATTCGCTTATGGGTATCTGCGCTCAATTCGGCCCGCGTTTCATCGTCGTTGCCGACCGTTACAACACAGACATCGACCGTCACAACTCGCAGTGCGACCAGTCCAGTGCCCCTAGTCTTGCCAGTGCACCAACAGCTTCTCAAGGCGCTGCTGATGCTGTTGCTGGTGGTGGTGCTGCTGGTGCTGGTGAAGTTGGGAGGGGTGGTGATGCTGCTGCTGGTGGTGCTGGTGATGGTCGTACTTGCAAGGAAGAGTCGTTCTCAGGGATTGGGGCAATGAAAGACGAGCCTAGGGAAACCACTGCTCGTGCAGGAGATGCAGGAGCAGGGGCGGCAGGTGGGGCGGCAGGTCGGGCGGAAGGAGGGGCGGCAGGAGGGGTGGCAGGAGGGCCAGCACGTGGGGCGGCAGGGGTTGGAGCTTCTGTACCAAAGGCTGGGGAACGAAGATCAAGTGCGGTGAAGAGGAAAGAAAGGACGGTGGAGGAGATTAAAGAGCGGTACTATGAGGGTGAGTGGACGAACGAATCTTTAGGAGCCTCACCTGAAGTCCTTTCACTAATGCAAATTGAACGTGGATTGGGGATTAAGTGTGATTAGTGAAGATTAATGGTTGCGTCACTATTAGTGCACCATTAGTGACGTGGATTGGTGCACTGCGCTGGATGCGTCTAATGGTTTTTATGCAACTGGTGGCAGCAGGTTTAGTGATGCAGGCTCAGCTAGCTGAGACACAAGTTTTTTTGGCTTATCTTTATTCTTTCCTCGCTCTCCCTGTGTTGTGCAGTTACCAAGAAGCTTCTTGCATCACGAGCAGCAGCAGGCGAGGAGGTGCCAATGGGACTGTTGCCTAAGGTGGGTGGTATGGTGGTGAGTCGAAGTTTGGGCCGAGTATAAAAAGGAGTAGCAACAGGTAATGAGATGTCAATAGTTTACTGCCCAAGTGGGTTTGAGGAATTCTAAGGTGCATGGATGCGAACGAGGTGATTTTGAGGCGCCTCAAAAAGGTGATTTCTTAGGCGCCTCGAGAAGGTACCAACCAACAGGCGAGGAGGTACCAACCAACAGGCGAGGAGGTACCAACCAACAGGCGAGGAGGTACCAACCAACAGGCGAGGAGGTACCAACCAACAGGCGAGGAGGTACCAACCAACAGGCGAGGAGGTACCAACCAACAGGCGAGGAGGTACCAACCAACAGGCGAGGAGGTACCAACCAACAGGCGAGGAGGTACCAACCAACAGGCGAGGAGGTACCAACCAACAGGCGAGGAGGTACCAACCAACAGGCGAGGAGGTACCAACCAACAGGCGAGGAGGTACCAACCAACAGGCGAGGAGGTACCAACCAACAGGCGAGGAGGTACCAACCAACAGGCGAGGAGGTACCAACCAACAGGCGAGGAGGTACCAACCAACAGGCGAGGAGGTACCAACCAACAGGCGAGGAGGTACCAACCAACAGGCGAGGAGGTACCAACCAACAGGCGAGGAGGTACCAACCAACAGGCGAGGAGGTACCAACCAACAGGCGAGGAGGTACCAACCAACAGGCGAGGAGGGTACCAACCAACAGGCGAGGAGGTACCAACCAACAGGCGAGGAGGTACCAACCAACAGGCGAGGAGGTACCAACCAACAGGCGAGGAGGTACCAACCAACAGGCGAGGAGGTACCAACCAACAGGCGAGGAGGTACCAACCAACAGGCGAGGAGGTACCAACCAACAGGCGAGGAGGTACCAACCAACAGGCGAGGAGGTACCAACCAACAGGCGAGGAGGTACCAACCAACAGGCGAGGAGGTACCAACCAACAGGCGAGGAGGTACCAACCAACAGGCGAGGAGGTACCAACCAACAGGCGAGGAGGTACCAACCAACAGGCGAGGAGGTACCAACCAACAGGCGAGGAGGTACCAGCAGGTCCATTGCCCAATGCGGGTGGGTGAGGTCTGAGTTGCATTTCATGCGTCTACATTGCATTTTATGTGTCTGCGTTTCATGTGACTCACACACCCACCTTAGGCTCTCCATTACAACATTCGTGTTTGCACCCTAAACCCAGCACAGAGGAGGGGGAACAACACCCCTTTCATCTCTGACTTTTGAGTCGACTCACACACCCATCTTAGTCTCTTTCTGCATTACAACATTCATTCGCACAGAGGAGGGGCCACAACACCCGTCGACTTTTGAGCCGACTCAAAAGTCAACAGAGGAGGGGCCACAACACCCGTCTCATCTCATCTCCCCACTTCCCACTCGCCCCCCTTCCCTTTTTCCTTCCTCCTCTTACTCCCTCCCCCTCATCCCCTCCTCCGAACCACTCATTCAGGACGGGTACAACATGCGTGCTGAGGTGGAGGCTGGAGCGCAAGACCCCTCTTATCTTTCTCCCCCGCTTCCCCCTCACCTGTCCTTACTCTCCTTCACCTCTTCTCTCCCTCCTTTCACGAAACCACCCCCTCAGGATGGGTACAACATACGTGCTGAGGTGGAGCTCATGTCCCTGCTGCTGCTGTCCCCCACTCTCACTCTTACCCTCACGCATTTCCGGCTCTCCTCTCCCCTTCCTCCTCTTACTCCCCTCTCCCCACTGTCTCAGGACGGCTACAACATGCGTGCTGAGGTGGAGCGCAAGACCCTGCTGGCCGCACAGCTGGCGCTGACTAGACGCCAGCTGGCAGAGGAGGAGAAGGTGAGGCGGACGAGAGGGTGGGGTTGGGGGAGGGGGAGGGGGAGGGGGTGGGGAAGGGTTTGGGGGGTAAGGGTGGGGGATGACGTTGGGATAGTTTTCGAGCTGGCGCCTTCTCCTCCTCTGCCAGCTGGCGCCTTCTCCTCCTCTGCCAGCTGGCGCCTTCTCCTCCTCTGCCAGCTGGCGCCTTCTCCTCCTCTGCCAGCTGGCGCCTTCTCCTCCTCTGCCAGCTGGCGCCTTCTCCTCCTCTGCCAGCTGGCGCCTTCTCCTCCTCTGCCAGCTGGCGCCTTCTCCTCCTCTGCCAGCTGGCGCCTTCTCCTCCTCTGCCAGCTGGCGCCTTCTCCTCCTCTGCCAGCTGGCGCCTTCTCCTCCTCTGCCAGATGGCGCCAAAGCCATCCTCCGCCTCTCCAAGGCGCCAGCTGGCAGAGGAGGAGAAGGCGAGGTGGGCGAGGGTGTGGGTGGGGATGGGGGAGGAGGGGCGGTTGACTTGACTTATTGGGATCAGTTTTAGTTTTTTTTTGCTCATGGTAGAAGGGTTGCAGTGTGCAAAGATTATTCCAGGGCCTTTTTTGAGTCGACTAAAAAATAGGGTTGCAGTGTGCAAAGAATTTTCCAAAGCGCCAGCTAGCAGAGGAGGAGAAGCGAGGTGGGGATTGGGGTGGGGATTGGGGTGGGGGGATGGGGGGAATGTGGGAGGGAGGGGTTGGCAAGAGGGGAGAAAGTGGACTGAGCAGCTGAACTTACACAGAAGGAGACTGCAGTCAAGGGAGAGGGTCTGAGATGTGTCAAAGCCCATAATCATGTCCGAAACATGTCATGGCCCATAATCATGTTGCTTGTTGCTGTTTTCCCGTGTGGTTCAACAGGTGCTGGCAGAAGCAGAGAGAATCCTTAAAGCCCGAGGGTGGAGTGACGAGCAGTTGCAAGAGCACAAGGAGAGATTGCAGTCAAGGGAGAGGGAGAGGGAGGAGCGGGAGGAAAGGGAGAGGGAGGAGAGGGAGGAAAGGAAGAGGGAGAGGGAGAGGGAGAGGGAGGAGAGGGAGGAGAGGGAGAAGGAGAGGGAGAGGGAGGTGGATGCGCGGAGGCGGCAGGCAAAGCAGCAAACTGTGAAGCTGGTGAGGAGGAGTGGAAAGATGGTAATGCAATGCGTTACACCACCACTGACATTGTAACGCCATTGTTTACTATCTTTCCAGTTCTTTTGTCATGCCGATACTTCTGAGAAAGTCTATACACAGCAGTTTATTTAACCTGCTAACTCTATTCCCCCCCTCCCCCCCTCATTCTGCTTCCTTCTTTCTATCTTTCTTTACTTCCTTTCTTTTTTTTCCACAAAACTGAATGCGCGCTTTAGAATCCACCTCAACCAACACCCCCCTCTCCCTCATTCCTCTCCCCCTTTTCCCGCAGGCCTCCATTCCCCTTTCTCCCACACTCTCCTCTCGAGCCCCACCCGCAGCAGCAGTCACTCCTCTGCAAGACTCCCACGTGGCACCCCCATCTGTGCCCGCATCAGCGTCCACGTCAGCAGCTGCCCATGCTGACGTGGTGCCAGCTCACGCGCCCGAGCGGACACGTCAGCACGCGGTGTCAGCAGGAGGGGGAAGTTCCCGGGGCGTCCTTGCTGCTCCGGTGTCAGCCCAGGCTGGGAATGCGAGAGTGGTGAGCTGGGATAGTTATGTGTGCAATGCGAGAGTGGTGAGTTGGGATAGAGGTGTGTGCATGTGACTCTGTGCGTGTGTGTAGATGCAATAGGGGCGCCCTTGCTGCTCCGGTGTCAGCCCAGGCTGGGAATGCGAGAGTGGTGAGTTGGGATAGAGGTGTGTGCACGTGACTCTGTGCGTGTGTGTAAATGGATAGGGGCGCCCTTGCTGCTCCGGTGTCAGCCCAGGCTGGGAATGCGAGAGTGGTGAGCTGGGATAGAGGTGTGTGCAATGCGAGAGTGGTGAGTTGGGACAGAGGTGTGTGCACGTGACTCTGTGCGTGTGTGTAAATGTGACTTATGAGTTGACTCAAAAGCTCCTGTGTGTTAAGGGCATCAGTCAGTCATTGGGCAGAGATCTTGCTGCCCTCTCTCTTTGCACCATCCGCTTACATCCTCAAACTTTCTCCGCTGTCTCCCCCACATCTCCCCATTCCCCTCTCCGCTCAAACCCCCAATACCAGCCGCGTGTGTTCGTGAGAGGTCCGCGACTGGCCTCCACCCTCCTCGCCTCCACCACCACTGCTGGCGCTCGAATGGCCAAGCGTATTGAAAACACGCTTCAAGAGCTGGGGGTGAGTGGGATGTGTAAGAAGGGGGAAGGGGGGAGGAGGGGGACAATGGGGAAGGGGGCAGGGGTTTGGCGTCCACCCTCCTTGACTGGCCTCCACCCTCCTCGCCTCCACCACCACTGCTGGCGCTAGACTGGCCAAGCGCATCGAAAAGACCCTTCAGGAGCTGGGGGTGAATGGGGTGTGTAGGAGTTAGAGTAAGAGGGGGAGGGGGTGGGGGGGGGGGGGAGTATTGGTAAAGGGGGCATGCAACTGCCCTCCTCGCCTCCACCACCACAGCTGGCGCTAGACTTGCCAAGCACATCGAAAATACCCTTCAAGAGCTGCGGGTGATTGGGGTGTAGCAGCTGGAGCAAGAGGGGGGAGTGGGGCGTGACATGGAGGGGTGTGTGGGGGTTGGGTGGGATGGGGTGGGTGGGATGGGGACTAGAGTGCACACCTCAGGTGCCCCTGCCGTGGCCCCAGGCTGCCCGTCCTACTCATTCCCCCTCATGACCAAGCTCAGGTGCGTCATTCTCTCCAACCAAGCTCAGGTGCGTCATTCTCTCCAACCAAGCTCAGGTGCGTCATTCTCTCCAACCAAGCTCAGGTGCGTCATTCTCTCCAACCAAGCTCAGGTGCGTCATTCTCTCCAACCAAGCTCAGGTGCGTCATTCTCTCCAACCAAGCTCAGGTGCGTCATTCTCTCCAACCAAGCTCAGGTGCGTCATTCTCTCCAACCAAGCTCAGGTGCGTCATTCTCTCCAACCAAGCTCAGGTGCGTCATTCTCTCCAACCAAGCTCAGGTGCGTCATTCTCTCCAACCAAGCTCAGGTGCGTCATTCTCTCCAACCAAGCTCAGGTGCGTCATTCTCTCCAACCAAGCTCAGGTGCGTCATTCTCTCCAACCAAGCTCAGGTGCGTCATTCTCTCCAACCAAGCTCAGGTGCGTCATTCTCTCCAACCAAGCTCAGGTGCGTCATTCTCTCCAACCAAGCTCAGGTGCGTCATTCTCTCCAACCAAGCTCAGGTGCGTCATTCTCTCCAACCAAGCTCAGGTGCGTCATTCTCTCCAACCAAGCTCAGGTGCGTCATTCTCTCCAACCAAGCTCAGGTGCGTCATTCTCTCCAACCAAGCTCAGGTGCGTCATTCTCTCCAACCAAGCTCAGGTGCGTCATTCTCTCCAACCAAGCTCAGGTGCGTCATTCTCTCCAACCAAGCTCAGGTGCGTCATTCTCTCCAACCAAGCTCAGGTGCGTCATTCTCTCCAACCAAGCTCAGGTGCGTCATTCTCTCCAACCAAGCTCAGGTGCGTCATTCTCTCCAACCAAGCTCAGGTGCGTCATTCTCTCCAACCAAGCTCAGGTGCGTCATTCTCTCCAACCAAGCTCAGGTGCGTCATTCTCTCCAACCAAGGCTCTCCAACCAAGCTCAGGTGCGTCATTCTCTCCAACCAAGCTCAGGTGCGTCATTCTCTCCAACCAAGCTCAGGTGCGTCATTCTCTCCAACCAAGCTCAGGTGCGTCATTCTCTCCAACCAAGCTCAGGTGCGTCATTCTCTCCAACCAAGCTCAGGTGCGTCATTCTCTCCAACCAAGCTCAGGTGCGTCATTCTCTCCAACCAAGCTCAGGTGCGTCATTCTCTCCAACCAAGCTCAGGTGCGTCATTCTCTCCAACCAAGCTCAGGTGCGTCATTCTCTCCAACCAAGCTCAGGTGCGTCATTCTCTCCAACCAAGCTCAGGTGCGTCATTCTCTCCAACCAAGCTCAGGTGCGTCATTCTCTCCAACCAAGCTCAGGTGCGTCATTCTCTCCAACCAAGCTCAGGTGCGTCATTCTCTCCAACCAAGCTCAGGTGCGTCATTCTCTCCAACCAAGCTCAGGTGCGTCATTCTATTCTCTCCAACCAAGCTCAGGTGCGTCATTCTCTCCAACCAAGCTCAGGTGCGTCATTCTCTCCAACCAAGCTCAGGTGCGTCATTCTCTCCAACCAAGCTCAGGTGCGTCATTCTCTCCAACCAAGCTCAGGTGCGTCATTCTCTCCAACCAAGCTCAGGTGCGTCATTCTCTCCAACCAAGCTCAGGTGCGTCATTCTCTCCAACCAAGCTCAGGTGCGTCATTCTCTCCAACCAAGCTCAGGTGCGTCATTCTCTCCAACCAAGCTCAGGTGCGTCATTCTCTCCAACCAAGCTCAGGTGCGTCATTCTCTCCAACCAAGCTCAGGTGCGTCATTCTCTCCAACCAAGCTCAGGTGCGTCATTCTCTCCAACCAAGCTCAGGTGCGTCATTCTCTCCAACCAAGCTCAGGTGCGTCATTCTCTCCAACCAAGCTCAGGTGCGTCATTCTCTCCAACCAAGCTCAGGTGCGTCATTCTCTCCAACCAAGCTCAGGTGCGTCATTCTCTCCAACCAAGCTCAGGTGCGTCATTCTCTCCAACCAAGCTCAGGTGCGTCATTCTCTCCAACCAAGCTCAGGTGCGTCATTCTCTCCAACCAAGCTCAGGTGCGTCATTCTCTCCAACCAAGCTCAGGTGCGTCATTCTCTCCAACCAAGCTCAGGTGCGTCATTCTCTCCAACCAAGCTCAGGTGCGTCATTCTCTCCAACCAAGCTCAGGTGCGTCATTCTCTCCAACCAAGCTCAGGTGCGTCATTCTCTCCAACCAAGCTCAGGTGCGTCATTCTCTCCAACCAAGCTCAGGTGCGTCATTCTCTCCAACCAAGCTCAGGTGCGTCATTCTCTCCAACCAAGCTCAGGTGCGTCATTCTCTCCAACCAAGCTCAGGTGCGTCATTCTCTCCAACCAAGCTCAGGTGCGTCATTCTCTCCAACCAAGCTCAGGTGCGTCATTCTCTCCAACCAAGCTCAGGTGCGTCATTCTCTCCAACCAAGCTCAGGTGCGTCATTCTCTCCAACCAAGCTCAGGTGCGTCATTCTCTCCAACCAAGCTCAGGTGCGTCATTCTCTCCAACCAAGCTCAGGTGCGTCATTCTCTCCAACCAAGCTCAGGTGCGTCATTCTCTCCAACCAAGCTCAGGTGCGTCATTCTCTCCAACCAAGCTCAGGTGCGTCATTCTCTCCAACCAAGCTCAGGTGCGTCATTCTCTCCAACCAAGCTCAGGTGCGTCATTCTCTCCAACCAAGCTCAGGTGCGTCATTCTCTCCAACCAAGCTCAGGTGCGTCATTCTCTCCAACCAAGCTCAGGTGCGTCATTCTCTCCAACCAAGCTCAGGTGCGTCATTCTCTCCAACCAAGCTCAGGTGCGTCATTCTCTCCAACCAAGCTCAGGTGCGTCATTCTCTCCAACCAAGCTCAGGTGCGTCATTCTCTCCAACCAAGCTCAGGTGCGTCATTCTCTCCAACCAAGCTCAGGTGCGTCATTCTCTCCAACCAAGCTCAGGTGCGTCATTCTCTCCAACCAAGCTCAGGTGCGTCATTCTCTCCAACCAAGCTCAGGTGCGTCATTCTCTCCAACCAAGCTCAGGTGCGTCATTCTCTCCAACCAAGCTCAGGTGCGTCATTCTCTCCAACCAAGCTCAGGTGCGTCATTCTCTCCAACCAAGCTCAGGTGCGTCATTCTCTCCAACCAAGCTCAGGTGCGTCATTCTCTCCAACCAAGCTCAGGTGCGTCATTCTCTCCAACCAAGCTCAGGTGCGTCATTCTCTCCAACCAAGCTCAGGTGCGTCATTCTCTCCAACCAAGCTCAGGTGCGTCATTCTCTCCAACCAAGCTCAGGTGCGTCATTCTCTCCAACCAAGCTCAGGTGCGTCATTCTCTCCAACCAAGCTCAGGTGCGTCATTCTCTCCAACCAAGCTCAGGTGCGTCATTCTCTCCAACCAAGCTCAGGTGCGTCATTCTCTCCAACCAAGCTCAGGTGCGTCATTCTCTCCAACCAAGCTCAGGTGCGTCATTCTCTCCAACCAAGCTCAGGTGCGTCATTCTCTCCAACCAAGCTCAGGTTGGTCATTCTCTCCAACCAAGCTCAGGTTGGTCATTCTCTCCAACCAAGCTCAGGTTGGTCATTCTCTCCAACCAAGCTCAGGTTGGTCATTCTCTCCAACCAAGCTCAGGTGCCCTAGCTGGCTCCACGTGTGCCCAAACACGTGGCTCAGGTGCCCTATCTATGCTGTGTTCAAACAGCGCTACTGTCCCCAACCGTCCTACTGGTTCCCCCCCTCCTTCGCCCCTCCCTCGCCCCTCTTTCGCACCTCCTTCTCCCCTCCCTCGCCCCTCCCTCACCCCTCCTTCGCCCCTCACTCTGCCCCGCCTACTCATCCCCCATCCATACACAGGTGCCCCTAGCACCCCATGTGCCCACGCGGGAGGTGTGTGCGGAGTATGTTGCGCTTAGGAAAGAGGTGGTTGCGCTGCTGAACCTGCAGAAGAAGGTACGGGAGTGAGGGTGGGGAAGGGAGGCGGTATAATATGAGATGGTGTGACGAGGCACGTTGATCGGAATACGTGGCGCTGAGGAAAGAGGTGGTTGCGCTGCTGAACCTGCAGAAGAAGGTGGGAGAGGGAGCGGTGATGGGAGTTGATATGTCATGTTGTGATATGATATGAGACATGTTTCCGTTGATCGGAATATGTGGCGCTGAGGAAAGAGGTGGTTGCGCTGCTGAACCTGCAGAAGAAGGTGATTGGTCCGATATCGTGTCTTGACTCCTCTCCTCCCACACAATCACCAATTGCTCGCACTCACACTCTCACTCATAAACTTGCAATCACAGACGCACACTTGCCCCCACACATCCACTCCTCCGATCCAACGTCTCTTTGCGCGTACTCACTCACACACTCACTCATACACCCACACTCACTCATACACACACACTCACTCATACACCCACACTCACACTCACACACCCACTCCTCCAATTCACACGTCCCATTGCAGGTACACTGGAAGGAAAACGAGCTTACTCTTTTAAAGGAAAGCCTTCAAAAGGAGACAGGGGGTGGGGGAGGCGGAGGTGGGGGAAAGGGTGTTGCAGGTGGGGGGAAGGGAGTGGCTGGGGGAGGGAAGGGGGTGGCTGGGGGGGCGAAGGGCGCAGGAGGGGCAACAGGGGGAAGCAAAGGGGGAGGGAAGGGGGGAGGGGGAGGAGGAACAGTGAAGGGAGGAGGAGCAGGAGGAGGAGGAGGAGGAGGAGGAGGAGGAGGAGGAGGAGGAGGAGGAGGAGGAGGAGGAGGAGGAGGAGGAGGAGGGGTGGGGGGAGGAGGAACAGAGAAAAGGTAGGAGTACAAATCGCTGTTGCAGCAGCAGCGCCAGCAGCAGGAGCAGCAACACCACCACACCAAAAGCACCATGACTCTTCCAACCTCTTACCCCTTTCCAAAGTGAGCTCTATTTAGGTCCTGACTTGATCTAAGCCCTTTCCCTCTTTTGAGTCGACTCATCATAAGTCACCAAGAGCACCATGACTTGTCGAGCCCTGGTCCCCCTCTCAATGTGAGGTCCAGGGTCGGACTTGATCTAAGCTCTTCTTGAGCCGCCTAAAAATGTTGAGGCGCCTCAAAAACACAAAAGCACCATGGCTTATTGAGCCTTGGCCCCCTTTCCAAAGTGAGCTCCAGGGTCCGACTTGATCTAAGCTCTCGCCCCCTCGCTTCCTTTGCCCCATCGTCCCCGCATCGTCCCCGCATCGTCCTCGCATCGTCCCCGCATCGTCCCCGCATCGTCCCCCCATCGCCCACTACCTGCCCTCCCCTCGTATTCCTCCCTTTTTCCCACCGTTTCCCTTTCCCCTTCTTCCCCCGTGCTCCCTCTCTCCTCCCTCTCTAGTCGCGTTGACACACATGCAGACTTCCAGTGTTATATTTTCCTCTCTTCCCCCTCACAGTCATGCCAACAGACATGCACCGAACCACCTTCATGTCAGGCCTGCCTTTCATGAAACACCCTTACCGAGCCTGCTCGTCAGGCTTGGCTGGTCGTTAGCTCACAATGTTATCTCAACTCTATCCTTTCCTACCGTTTCTTTTACGTCCAAAGCATGCATCATTACCCGTTACAGAGCTGTAAACACCCTTGAGAGTCACTTCTGAGAATTGTCATAAGAACTGTGAACACCACGCTTGTCCCTCTACCTTGTATTCGAGTTTTGAGACGTCTCGAAATTTTGAGTTTTGAGACATCTCAAAATTCAGTCTGCAACTGCAAGGACACCACGCTTATCTCTCTACCTCGTATCCGACCCTATCCCCCTTTCTTCCTTGTGTCCGTACCTGCCCGGCTTCCCTGGCCAGGCCTACCGAGGCTCAGCTCCGGAATCAGCTTCGGCGCTGCCTGGTCCGTCGTCTGTGGTTGCATCAGGTAATACCCAGGGCATGCCAACATCACAAAAAAAAAAATGAAACGCCAAAGAAAAACTTCTTATCAGAATATCCCTAACTCGCGAAAATATCTACAAAGTCCTTTCGAGCTTCAGGTACGGCCCATGCCAAGGCATGCTGTAGGTTGATTTTGTGTGCTTGGAAAACCAAATCTCATCACACAAGGAAAACCAAATCCTTGAAGCACCGCAAGAGTATTTCATGACGGGTGCGGCTCGGAGATGTGTGAGCCGCACCCATCTCAGAGTTTTTGCAGCTCGGGTGCGGCTCGGAGATGTGTCTTCAAAAACTACCCATGCCCCTCACGAGCACACGAGCTGCTTTTGAGTCGACTCGAGAACTACTCATGCCAATCAATCACGAGCTCAAGAGCTCTTTGCCAGCTTCCCATCTGACTGGGAGGGTGTCTTGAGAATTGTATGACAAAAAAATAAACAAACAAGCAAAAAAACAAACAGAAGAATATCTGCTGCTTCAGTTCTTGCCTCGGTTCAGCTTCAGGTGTATATTTGGAAACAACCCATACACGTTAGCACATAAGCCCTCGGTCTACACACACTTCCCGCTCTGTCCACCCCTCATCACCCAAACTCCATACCTATTCTTCACTCCTCATCACCCAACTTCAACCCCCCTCCACCACTCTCCACCCCTCTGTGCCTCTCTTCACAGGCGCAGCTTCCACACCGCGGCCTGAAGTCGGGAGAAAGGTGAGATCAGGTTACGGTTCGGTTCCAAGTGGTGGGCTGATGGGAATAAAACAGTAACTTGTGTTTTGTCACTCGGTTCTTTCCTGTCTCTCTCCTGTTCTCAGTGCCTTGTGCCTTTCACATACACAACCACCCCAACACCCCCCCCCTCCTCCCTCCCAGCCCTTCCCCTCCTCTCACACTCCCCTTCGTCCCCCCTCTCTCTACCCCCATGCAATCAGCGCCAGGCAGGGTGGAGAGCATCTGAACCCAGCAGCACCGCTCTATCTGCTGCTTCTGGGGCTGGCTCTGCTGGTGGTGCGGGTGGGGGAGGCGCCAGGGATGGGGACACTGGTGGTGGTGGAGGGGGTGCACAGAAGCGGATCCGACGGCTCAAAATCACAGAGGACTGACGGGGCTCTGCTGGTTCTGGGGGTAGGGAAGGTGCTGTGGTGGGCGCAATCGGGGGGTGGAGAGCATCTGAACCCAGCAGCACCGCTCTATCTGCTGCTTCTGGGGCTGGCTCTGCTGGTGCTACGGGTGGGGGAGGCGCCAGGGATGGGGGTGCGGGTGGTGGGGGAGGAGGGGGCGCACAGAAGCGGATCCGACGGCTCAAAATCACAGAAGACTGAGATGGTTCTGCTGGTGCTAGAGGTGGGGGGGGACTAGGGTAGGGTGGGGGGATGGGTGGTTACCACAGAAGCGAATTCTGCGGCTCGAGTCAAGACCACAGAAGTCTATTTTTGAGGCGCCCCAATCAAAACTAGAGGTGGGGGACTAGGGGAGGGTGGGGAGATGGGTGGTTACCACAGAAGCGAACTCAGCGGCTCAAGTCAAGACCACAGAAGTCTATTTTTGAGGCGCCTCAATCAAAACTAGAGGTGGGGGACTGGGGGAGGGTGGGGAGATGGGTGGTTACCACAGAAGCAAATTCTGCGGCTCAAGTCAAGACCACAGAAGACTGAGAAGGCTCTGCTGCCGTCAGGGGCGGGCAGGGCAGGAGCCTGATGGTTTGGTAACGTGCTCCTTATAAAACATGTGCTTTCTTTCTGCAGGAGAATAATTTTGCCCATACCTTCAAGCATGTAGTGGTGGAGAATTTCCAACTTCGTCTGTATGTATACTACTAATGGTGTGCCATATTGTTGATTAGCGCCACTAATATTGCAAGCAGCAGCAGTCGTGGTTCATTTCGCATCGCATGGCATTGCAGTCAAGAGTTGGTTCATGCAGCACCAGTCGTGGTCGTGGTTCATGTTGCATTGCATTGCACCATTGAATTGAACCGGCAAAACTGGAGGTACCGTAATAAAAGAGTAGAATGGTACCCTAACCTAACCTACCCAACAACACCAGTGGCCCACTTCAAAAGGCCAACTTTACTTTGGGGGCACCTCAAAAGTTGAAATCGGGCAAAATTGGAGGTACTGGTACCAACAAGAACCAGGAGGTACTGGTACCAACAAGAACCAGGAGGTACTGGTACCAACAAGAACCAGGAGGTACTGGTACCAACAAGAACCAGGAGGTACTGGTACCAACAAGAACCAGGAGGTACTGCTGCTGCTGCTGTCCCTGCCCCCCCTGCTGTTGCTACTGCTGCTGCCCCTGCTGCTCCTGCTGCTGCTGCACCTGAAGCTCCTGCTGCTGCCCCTGCTGCTGCTGCTGATGATTCATTTCAATCAGACGGAGCCGGCCAGAGCGACTGTCAGCTGTTAAAGAGTATGGCACGCACTGGCAAAACCTCTCCGGAAAAAAGGGAGAAGCAAAAACAAAAAAGGTAGAAGGAGAAGAAGAAAAAGAACTGCGAAGAAAGCAGCGCCATGGTTCAGTAAGCACTATGGTATGGACCAGCTTGCAGAGGTCAGAGGGAGGGAGAGAAGCACTGGTGATTCTCTAGATGCACAAAAAAGGCAGCGCTGGTGACTAAGTGCTGTGAATGAGCTTGGGCAGGTGGAGACGACATGGGCGGGAAGAGAACAAGCGTGACTAAGCACTGCGACTTAGGAGCATGGGCTGCTAAGCGCTGTGAACGAGCTTGGGCAGGTCGAGACGGCGGAAGCGGATGGCAAAGTGCACGTCCTGCCAGAGGAAGGTGATGCGGGCGGCAGAGTCCACTAGCAGACAACCGTTCACCCACTGCGGGCGGCGGAAGTTGTAGTCTGCCACTCGGCCCTGGCCCTGGCACCTGTTGGGGTGGACGGCGGGCGGGAACAGGATCAGCAGGAGTGGAGAGCGGTGTGAGTAGGTGAGGTGGGAACGAGGAAGCGGCACGCACCACCAGGCGACCATACATATCTAAGAAAGGTAATTAGGCACAAGATGGCGCCATTTTGCATTGCTATGCCATTTTGCCATAGCAAGCCCTGAGACGATGTAAGAACATTTCGAGGCTCACAATAAGGTGACTTTTAAGTCGACTCAACAGGTATCAGAAACAAGATGACGCCATTCTGCATTGGTTCTGATCTAGCAAGCTTTTAAGAATTGTTTTGAGACGTCTCAAAACAAAACACTTTTTGAGACGTCTCAACACACGAGGACGCCATTCTGCATTGGTTCTGATCTAGCAAGCTTTTGAGAATTGTTTTGAGACGTCTCAAAACAAAACACTTTTTGAGACGTCTCAACAAACGAGGACGCCATTCTGCATTGGTTCTGATCTAGCAAGCTTTTGAGAATACTCAAAGGTCACACCGATCTCAAAAGCAGGCAAGAGAAACTCACATCCAGACGAATTGAACCTCCGTGCCCTCATCTGTCCCCGCGTCATGGTTCGTGTGCATCACAGCACGCACCAGAGTCATAGGCGCATAGCCCTCTGCCACCTCTCTCCCGTCTTGTTCTAAGACGCTTCAACAATAACAACCAAGCAGCGAATCACTCACATCCACACGAATTGAACCTCCGTGCCCTCGTCTGCCCCCGCGTCATGATCTGTGTGCATCACAGCTCGCACCAGAGTCGTGGCCCTCTGCCACCTCTCCCCCCTCTCGTTCTGAGAGGACTCAAGTCTAACTAGCAACAACCAGGCAGCGAATCACTCACATCCACACGAATTGCACCTCCGTGGCCTCTTGTTTTGAGACGCTTCAACAATAACAACCAAGCAAGCAGCGAATCACTCACATCCAGACGAATTGAACCTCCGTGCCCTCGTCTGCCCCCGCGTCATGATCTGTGTGCATCACAGCTCGGGCCAGAGTCGTCGCCCTCTGCCACCTCTCTCCCCTCTCCCTCCGCACCTCTTCCGCTCGCTCCCTCTCCCTCTCTGCTGCCCTATCCATATCACCACCATCACAGCCACCACCATCACCCATCACAGTATCACTTCCATCTGTAGCACCGCTCCCTCCCCCTCTGCTGCTGCCCTCGCCCCTGCTGCTGCCGTCACCCCTACCAGCAGAGTCATCACCAGCGTTGCTAGGAGGGGGGAGGACGATGCTGCGAGTGGGAGTGAGCGGCACTGGCACTCCCCCCGGCCCACGGGGCAGGAGACCGTCGGTGGGTGGGAGGTCTGATGGGTCGGGTGGGCCTTGGGCTGTGGCCAGGCGGGCTTTAAATGTCACTTGCCCACAGGGCACGTTCGGATCGCCTGCAAGGGAAGGAGGGGAAAACAAGAGAAAACAAACGGATTATTTAGTGGTCGGCAGGGGTCAGCAGGGGCACTGGCACTCCCCCTGGCCCACGGGGCAGGAGACCATCGGTGGGTGGAAGGTCTGAGGGGTCGGGACTCGGGTGGGCTTTGGGCTGTAGCGAGGCGGGCTTTAAAGGTCACTTGCCCGCAGGGAACGTTGGGATCGCCTGTTATGGGAGAGAGGAAGTGGGCGGGGGGGTAGGGGGAGGAATGAGCGACGGGAGATGACAAAAGGGCCTTGAGCTGTGGCGAGGCGGGCTTTAAAGGTCACTTGTCCGCACGGCACGTTGGGATGGCTTGTTGTGGGAGGGAAAAGAACGTTCAGCACAGCCAGAACTACAAACGCACTAACATCACATCCATCCTACCTATGATTTTAGTGGCGACCATCTCTCCTCTCCCCACGGTACAGGCACACACAGAATCTCTATACCTGTTACAAGCCCACCCGCATTCAGCGTACCTGTGATTTTAGTCGCGACGATCTCGCCCCCCTGTACAAGCACGTTCAGAATCTCCACGCCATGCGGCCCATACTCGCCCGTCCACAACCCCTCCAGCCCATACGCCCACGCAGGCACCTCCTCTGCTGCCCCTGCACCTCCCTTTCCCCCTCCGCTCCCCCCTCCGCTCCCCCCTCCGCTCCCCCCTCCGCTCCCCTCTCCTCCTCTGCCCCCTTCTCCTCCTCTTCCTTCTCCTGTGCTCTCTCCCCCGCGCTCCTCCGCGCATCCATCCCCATCCATCATCCACCCTTCCTGCCCCTCCGTCCCCGCGCCTCCCCGTTCCGTCCCCTCCCCTCCGCCCTCCGCCCCTAGAACCTCCTCCTCCATCCCATCCGCGCCCATACCTGCGCCCATACCCGCGCCCATGCCTGCGCCCATGCCTGCGCCCATGCCTGCGCCCATACCCGCGCCCGTACCTGCCCGGCTACCCGCCCGCCTCTTCCCCGCCCCCCTCCGCCTCTCCTGCTCCTGCTCTGCACGGGTCAAAGGCACTCGGCTGTAGCTGGACTTAGGTACAGGTAACCTCCTCACCTGCCCACTCACATCATCCACCATCCCCCCCTCCCCTCCGCGCTTCCACCCTCCCCCGAATCCCCCTCCCTCGAATCCGCCTCCCTGAAACCCTCCCCCTCCCCCTCCCCCTGCCCCGCCTATCCAGGACCACCCATGGCCTCCGGAACTACCTGCCCCAGTTCCGCCACCGCCAGCTCCGCCTGCGCCAGCTCCGCCCGCCCCAGTTCCGCCTGCGCCAGCGGAGCTGCTGCTGCTGTTACCGCCTGGGCCCTGGCTGCTGCTGCCCCCGCCATTGCCACTGCCGGATGCTAGTCCTTCTGCCACTAGAAACGCGCCCGGGAGCCTCGGCTGCTGCTGCTGCAATGGCTGCTGCTGCTGTAATGGCTGCTGCTGTAACGGCTGCTGCAACGGTTGCTGTAACTGCTGCAAACGCTGCAGAGACGGCATGTGCCCGGATAGCTGTGCTCGGGACCCACCAGTCCCCACTCCTGCGAGTGCATCCGCCATCCCACCACCACCCCTCCCAACCTCACCCCCCCTCCTGCCTCCTGCTTCTCCTCCTCCCCCTCTCCCTCCCTCACTTCCTCTCCCACCCTCCCTCCCGTACTCCCTCCCGTGCTCCCTCCCATGTTCCCTCCCTCCCCTACTCGCATTGTTACCGCCCGCGTTGCCCCTAGCTGCATTGCCGCGGCCCAGCCCTCTGCCTGCCCCTGCTATTCCCGACAGGTACTGTAGCGCTCGCATCTGCAGCCCTCTCCCTGCGCCTCCACCAGCAGCAGCAGCAGCAGCCACCGGGGGAGCAGCAGGAGCAGCACCAGCACCAGCCACAGCAGCAGTGGCAGCAGCAGCAGGAGCAGGGGCAGGAGCGGCGGGAGCAGAAGCAGCAGCAGCGGCAGCAGCAGGAGCAGCGGGAGCCGCGGGAGCAGCAGCAGCAGTCCATCCTGCTGACGCTTCCCTGAAGCCGGGGCGATCCCGAGCCTCGGCTCCCAGCCACATGGATCGCGACACCTGGCGGCCCAACAGAGCATCTCCAACCTCCTGCTGCCGCCGCTGCTCCTCTTGCCGCTGCTGCTGTTCCCCGTTATCGGCTGCTCCCGTTGCATTTCCAGCAGCAGCAGCAGCAGCAGCAGCCGCAGCAGCAGCAGCAGCAGCACTCCCAGCAGCAACAGCTCCGGCTGTAGCAAGTGTGCTGCTGGAACTGGAAGGAGCGTTTACCATATACCGCGCCAGCAGCGGGTTCAACCGTGCCGCAGTAGCAGGGGAAACAGGAGCAGCAGCAGCAGCAGGAGGAGGAGCAGCAGATGCGGCCGGGGCAGCAGCAACAGAAGATGCAGACGCAGGGGGGAAAGAGAAGGCAGCATTCGGTGCAGCAAGTCGAGCAGACGACCCGAACAAACCAGCCGAATTACCCCGAGACGCAGGGCGGGCGGCAGGGAGGAGGGTTTGCAGGTGGAACCTCTGGCGCTCGGCCGTCTCCCATACAAGCACACCCGGTAACTCCACAGTGTGCTGCTCCTCCAGCCCGCGCCCGGCTAGGAGGCGCAGCTGCGTGGTTCCGTCGGGGAGGGCCGAGATGAGGAAGAGACGCGCGCACAGCAGAGAGCCGTCTGGAGGTGACAGGGTGTTGGGAAAGGAGGGGGTGGGGGAGGAGCGCATGAGGAAGATTAGTTGCTAAAGAATATTATATTCGAGGAGCCGTATGGGAGGGCTGAGATGAGGAAGAGACGCGCGCAGAGCAGAGCGCCGTCTGGGGGCGAGAGGGTGTGGGCGGGGGGAGGGAGGGGGGGAGGGGGAGCGGGGGGAGAGCACGTGAGGAAGATTAGCCGCTAAAGAAGATGAAATTTGAGGAGCTTTAAGAATCGCAGCTGTGTCGTTCCGTCTGGGAGGGCTGAGCTAAGGAAGAGACGAGCACAGAGCAAAAACCCGTCTGGGGGCGAGATGGGGAGTGGGCGAGGAAATTTTTGCCAATTCTCAATTCAATCAGAAGATGGAAAACATTTTTTCAGAATTCTCAAGAGAAATTAGGCAGTGAGGAAGACAGAAAGGTTTCCCAAGTTTGAAGAATTATTTTACTGTAACCCTATCTCTAAGCGAGTGGAGACAGGGGGGTTGGGTGGGGTGGGGAAGGGGGAGAGTGGGGGAAGTTGGGGGGGAGGATGAGGGGTGGGAGAGGAAGAGGAATTGTTCTGCGGATAACTTACCCAGCCAGTCAGGAATGATGCGGTAAGCGACCATTGACATCTTCTCCTGATAGAACGAGCAGAAACGGATAGAGCGAGAGAAGGGGAGCAGAGCATAGTATGTGGGTCAGAGGGCAGACGAAGTCACGGAAAACGTTCCGCAAGTTGAGCTGCGAAGAAGCGAACGAGGTGGATGATCCGGTGAAGCGACGCAAGGCTTTCATGTTGACACGACGTGCTTCAAACGCGGACAAGCCAGCGCGTCGCCACGGTTACGGAAGGCCTACAGTCATGTTTTGACCTCGTGCTACAGAAACGCATAATTCAACCTCCGAAACAAACAAACAAACGCAATGCAGCAGCGATGGCAGGAGGAGAAGTAGTGGTAATAGAAATAAAGGTTTCTCACCCAACTAGCAAATAACAGACCGCCACGTGGAGCCAAGTCATCAGCAGCCCATACTCCAGCCAATGGATCAAGAGCGTTCAAGAGACGGAAGAGGCATTTCGGAGAACTCGTCTCGACGAGCCAATCGGAAATCGCCACGTCGGACTCCCACTGCTTGCACAAATTCAGCCAGACTTGGGGTCGATTGGCTAATGAGCGCAGCGTGCGACACGTGGCAGCAGCAGATAGTAGATCCTGATACTCTAGCTCGTGAAGAATCTGAACAATCACGTCCGTTGGTAAGAGTAAAAGGTCCATTTTTTCCCTCGTTCTAATTTCCTCGTGATTGTCAGTCGACGGGGGAAGATAGGAGGGTTGTCAATTTCTGGAAATTCGTCGATGGAAGCTACCCGGCCTAACACGTCGGAAGCGAGAACGAGCGGAAATCACGCCGCAATTATGGAGGCATTAACCCTAAACACCCTGGAACTGTACATTTCTCGAGTCGGCGCAAGCAGCAGCTTAGGAACGAAGCGGCTCAAACAGCATCTCAATCGTTCTTGAGCAAATGCTGATTACGCCAACATTCCCCTCTGATAGAAGCTGGTAGAAGCTACTCACTAGTAGCGTGACAACAATATGCAAGAACGTGAAACCCCAAATCAGGCTGTGAATTTACTTCCACACTTCACCTCGCCCCACCCCATGTGTGCCTACAGTCCGGCCAATCATCTAATCAGCGACAGTAATACCTACGTCCCTCATTGGCTGAACTCACACACTCGTGGCGAAACAAACGAAACGAAACGAGGAAGAGTGCAAGTGAACGGATCAGATCAGGCTGGAAAATGATGTAGGGAAAGGGAGGAGGAAAGGAGGGCGGCCATTTTCAGGTGCATGCAACTTAGCCTGGGAAATGTATTCAAGTGCATGCCATGTTATTCCGCAGGTGTGTACACTTTACGCAGCTTAGAAATTTGTTATCATAATAGGGTGCGCTTACCAAGATTCGTTTCGAATTACAAACAGTCGAGAATAGATGCGATTACGGATTACGCAAAGCGAGATCGGGAATGGTTGGCTTTCGATTCAACATTTTCTGACGTCACCAGAAGCAGTCATTGCATGTTTGCCCAATTTCGACGCGGATTTCTGCTTCGCCCCAATTCTTCTTGAACAAACTTAAAGCTCAAGGCCCAAATTGCAAGCCGCGGCCATCAAGATTAGTAATCTTGATGGCCTCGGAAGTGTGTTACCCGATTCATTGACACGGAAGTTCGAGCGACCCCAACAGTTGTCCACAATCGTCGCGATTGGTTGGGTGGATCCGTGCGAAACTCTGCAGCCCTGGTCCTAACACCAGGCAGACTCCGAATACTCACCTTGACGCCCACAGCCCCGCAATTTGGGACTTTTGAAGTTCAATCACCGAGGAAAGCCAGGGAGAAGGGGCAACACACCTAGACCACTCACTCCAAGCAAGATTACTAATCAGGCCTTTGACCACTCACTCCTATACGCCCTCCGAAATGCGTAATGGAGAGACGAGCGATACATATAGGGCTACGACCAGGTTTACTAAAATCGCGAAGATACCCTCGACGGTGAGGAAGGTCTCAATGGTGACGTACATGTGACGCATCAATGTCTTCTCGGCGCCCAGCAACAGGCATAACTAGACGACATCGTAGGTGTGTACTGCTGAGGCAGGCATGACGCGATACCCAGAAAGCCTAGGGCGTGTGGGCGGGGAAAGTGCTTTGCCATTGTATACCACCACCAGACCGTTCTCATCGTCCCCCCGCTCTCATGCCGTTTGCATTCGGCTCGTCGCACACCGACGCTCGTCGCTCAACCAACCCCCGCGCTCACCTGCGATCTTAGGGAACCCGCGCTCACGGCTCGTCCGCACTCGAAATCTCATACGCGCTCCTCGCTCATCCGCGCGCGAAATGTCATACGCGCCCGTCGCTCATCCGCGCCCGAAATCTCATCCGCGCACCTCGCGCATCCGCGCTCGTCTCTCATCCGGTCTGGCCCACAATCAGCGCTCGTCTCTCATCCGGACTGTCCCACAATCCGCGCTCGTCTCTCATCCGCTGTCGTATTAGGTGCGGGCTCGTCTCTCACTGCATGTGTGCGCCCTGTGAATTCACGAGCCCGCACCTAGACTGCATGTGCGCTATGCCGCCTGCATGTGCGCTATGCGACTTCATGCGCGCCATGCGACTGCATGGCCGCAATGCGACTGCATGCGCGCCATGCGACTGCATGCGCGCCATGCGACTGCATGTGCGCCATGCGACTGCATGCGCGCCATGCGACTGCATGGCCGCAATGCGACTGCATGTGCGCCATGCGACTGCGGAAGACTGCAGTCCGCGCGCTCTACAACTGCATGCGCCTCCACCCCTCTTGCCCTTCGCGCGTCCGCATTGCTCTCTCCCTCCGTCTCTTCCTCCGCTCTCCCCTCTGCCCCTCCCTCTCCTCCCTGTGGATGAACGACAGGCTCCAACGTCACAGCGCCCACGCGCCGCTCCACCCGCCGGGTCAGCGCCCCCCCCGCTCACCAGGCAGCGCCGCGCGCTCTGCTGGCCGCGTGGACAGCACCGGCGAGCATGCTGCACGCGGAGCAGGTGAGCGTGCAGTTCCCCCCTTGCCCATGCCTATCCCCCTTGCCCATGCCTATCCCCCTTGCCCATGCCTATCCCCCTTGCCCATGCCTTTCCCCCTTGCCCATGCCTTTCCCCCTTGCCCATGCCTTTCCGCCTTGCCCATGCCTTTCCCCCTTGCCCATGCCTTTCCCCAATGCCCGTCCCTTTCCCCCTTGCCCATGCCTTTCCCCCTTGCCCATGCCTTTCCGCCTTGCCCATGCCTTTCCCCCTTGCCCATGCCTTTCCGCCTTGCCCATGCATTTCCCCCTTGCCCATGCCTATCCGCCTTGCCCATGCCTATCCCCCTTGCCCATGCCTATCCCCCTTGCCCATGCCTTTCCCCCTAGCCCATGCCTTTCCCCCTTGCCCATGCCTTTCCCCATTGCCGGTCCCTTTCCCCCTTTGCCCATGCCTATCCGCCTTGCCCATTCCTTTCCGCCTTGCCCATGCCGTTCCCCCTTGTCCATGCCTTTCCCCCTTGCCCGTCCCTTTCCCCCTTGCCCATGCCTTTCCCCCTTGCCCATGCCTTTCCCCCTTGCCCATGCCTTTCCGCCTTGCCCGTCCCTTTCCCCCTTTGCCCATGCCTATCCGCCTTGCCCATGCCTATCCGCCTTGCCCATGCCTATCCCCCTTGCCCATGCCTATCCCCCTTGCCCATGCCTTTCCCCCTTGCCCATGCCTTTCCCCCTTGCCCATGCCTTTCCGCCTTGCCCATGCCTTTCCCCCTTGCCCATGCCTTTCCCCAATGCCCGTCCCTTTCCCCCTTGCCCATGCCTTTCCCCCTTGCCCATGCCTTTCCGCCTTGCCCATGCCTTTCCCCCTTGCCCATGCCTTTCCGCCTTGCCCATGCATTTCCCCCTTGCCCATGCCTATCCGCCTTGCCCATGCCTATCCCCCTTGCCCATGCCTATCCCCCTTGCCCATGTCTTTCCCCCTTGCCCATGCCTTTCCCCCTTGCCCATGCCTATCCCCCTTGCCCATGCCTTCCCCCTTGCCCATGCCTTTCCCCCTTGCCCATGCCTTTCCCCCTTGCCCATGCCTTTCCCCCTTGCCCATGCCTTTCCGCCTTGCCCATGCCTTTCCCCCATTGCTCACCTCCTCCCCTCCCCTCCCTCTTCCGTGGGCAGCTACGTTGAGGGAGAGCCAACGGACGGTGTGCAGCGTTTCTTCAAGTGGATGCTGCTGCTGCAGAGGTAGAGGTAAGCAGCGGTGGAGAGGCTAGGTGCAGCGCGTGCGTGTTGCCCTTCATGACTGGTTCATGCTGTGCCGTTAACCTGCCACCACCCCTCTGTTCATACCTCAGTCCCCAGCCGTCCCATGCGCTTTGCCGTGTTTGGGCTGGGCAATCAGCAGTACGAGCACTTCAACCTGGTATGCCCGTGTCATGCTCCACCGTTGGCTCGGCTGCCATGCCACCCAACACGCCGTGAAGCTGTTCAGCACCATGCTTTGCTGTCTCGTCCTTCAACGTCACCGCTCGCATGGCTGCTCCCCCATCCATCCTCATCGCCATACGTCCGTCCACCTCCCTCTCCACTTCCGTTCCATTCCCCCTTCCTACCCGTACCACTCAGATTTCATCTTTTGCCTTCCCATCACCTCCTGTTCCAACGCTCTCTTTTCCCTGCCCATCCCCTTCGCTGTGTGTGTGTGTGTGCGCGTGCAGATGGGCAACATGCTTGACACGCGCCTCGCTGCTCTAGGTATGCTGCTATCCCATGATCTCCCTGCCCTCCCTGCCTTCGCTGTACACGGGAGCCCTTGGCCCGTGTGCATGTGAGCTGGTGGGCTACGTCTCATCGGCACTGATTGGCAAAAGTTCTTGGGTTTCGGCAACCAGGTGCAGGGCAGGGATGGAGGAAGGACATGGTCCGCCTTATCATTGTCACTCGCGTCCCACATCCCTCCCCTCATGTCACCCCCTTCCCCTCCACCATCCCACATCCCTCCCCTCATGTCACCCCCTTCCCCTCCACCATCCCACATCCCTCCCCTCATGTCACCCCCTTCCCCTCCACCATCCCACATCCCTCCCCTCATGTCACCCCCTTCCCCTCCACCATCCCACATCCCTCCCCTCATGTCACCCCCTTCCCCTCCACCATCCCACATCCCTCCCCTCATGTCACCCCCTTCCCCTCCACCATCCCACATCCCTCCCCTCATGTCACCCCCTTCCCCTCCACCATCCCACATCCCTCCCCTCATGTCACCCCCTTCCCCTCCACCATCCCACATCCCTCCCCTCATGTCACCCCCTTCCCCTCCACCATCCCACATCCCTCCCCTCATGTCACCCCCTTCCCCTCCACCATCCCACATCCCTCCCCTCATGTCACCCCCTTCCCCTCCACCATCCCACATCCCTCCCCTCATGTCACCCCCTTCCCCTCCACCATCCCACATCCCTCCCCTCATGTCACCCCCTTCCCCTCCACCATCCCACATCCCTCCCCTCATGTCACCCCCTTCCCCTCCACCATCCCACATCCCTCCCCTCATGTCACCCCCTTCCCCTCCACCATCCCACATCCCTCCCCTCATGTCACCCCCTTCCCCTCCACCATCCCACATCCCTCCCCTCATGTCACCCCCTTCCCCTCCACCATCCCACATCCCTCCCCTCATGTCACCCCCTTCCCCTCCACCATCCCACATCCCTCCCCTCATGTCACCCCCTTCCCCTCCACCATCCCACATCCCTCCCCTCATGTCACCCCCTTCCCCTCCACCATCCCACATCCCTCCCCTCATGTCACCCCCTTCCCCTCCACCATCCCACATCCCTCCCCTCATGCCACCACCCCATTCTTCCACTTTATTCTCCTAACCATTATCCCCTCACCTATCTCATTCCGTGACCACACCGTACCTACTCCAAACTCACCCCGCATCTCACATCTCATTCCCCACAAATTCGGGTTCCCAACACACCCACTCTGATATCGCATGCTCTTGCCCACTCTTATTGCTCCACTACGATTCCCCCCTCCCACAATACCTGATTTCTCCAGTCCTATGCTGCCTTTTCACCCACTCCTGTGTACAGGCCCTGTTGACGGCATTGTTTCGGTGCATGCGTTCGCCTCATAGATGCTAATGGATCAACCTACCAAACTATTCCAACAATGCAACTTCCTTTGTGAATTATACGGAAGGGAGATTATATGAGAATGGTATGGATTGTGTAAGCAAACCCTAACACCAACATTGTCAAAACAAACAATCAGAGTTCAGAGTAAATATCACACATGCCGTGCCATTATTAGATGACAATGATGTTGTGAAGTTAGCAACCGCAAAAGCAGGAGGCTACGCAACCACTTGAGGTTTCTGGGAGGTCCTTCAGTTCATGTTATGCCTCAACTAATTTGGGTTGTGGACCTGTTTATAGTACGCTACCGTACGTCTTTAGGAGAAGCAACGTTTAGAGAGTGCTGACCAAAGCATCTGCTGCAAGCCGTTTGACGAAGTATGAAATATAAAGTATGAGGTGAAGATGGGGTTGGGGACAAACTTGGTTGTACGGGGGCATCAGCCAAGAAACCCGGACCTGTGACATCTTTTTGTCAGAGACCAGAAGGCACGGGTGGGAGAGGGGATGGGGGAGGTGGGGGGGTAGGGATGTCATTGAAGGTGTAGGTGGCACGATCTTGCAGTCGTATAGTACAAAAAGGAAGGCAACATCACTAAAAAAAAATGACATCCTATAGGAGTGTGGCGGACCGGTCATGTAAAACAGCAAGTATATGATTCGGCCGTAAAGTACCCTAGGGTATGGGGCTGATTGGGCGCATACCGTATTGGAGACACCAGGTTGTGCGTGTTACAATCCACCTTTACGTGTGAGACCTCTGCTTGCCAAGAGCGTTAGCGTAGGTTGGTTGGCCTTTCTCCTGTGGGTTGGTAACAGAAAGCAGAAATGCACAGATTTGGCAAACAAGCAAAAAAAGGACATAAGCGCAGGGTGGATGCGGCTGCTGAAGCACGAGCAGGAATTTAGGGACAAGCAAGTATGTCTATAACCACGAACCCAGCAAACGGCGACGAGCTTGTGAAGTTCGTTGGCCGTATGACACCGGGGCAGGCCGGGATGTGCTGCCGTGACACCCAGGCGAGAAAGTGAGCTCATTGGTAGCCAAAGGGGTGCTGCACACCGGTTGCACAGAAACAGTACTCGGCTGTCCACTCATGGTTCGTTGTCGCACCGCACGGGTGTTCTCACTAACCCCCTGATCTGTGACAACCTCATCCAGCATTCCCTCTATTGCCGTTTCAGTTTCCTCCACATCCTCCACCCCTTCCTTCAACCACTCCTGCATTATCTTGTCGATCCAGGACCAGTCCATAGGACCTAGGATCCTCTCTCCAGAACCCCGCTGCACTCGTGTCGCCTTTCTTGCACGGAGGCGGTACGCCTTGACGAGTGGGTCCATGCAACTGCTCCAATGCAGCACTGCCAAGGCTATGCGTGCCTTCATGCTGCCCCTGAATCGCAGCCTCTTGGGTGCATACTTGCAAATCAGAGAGTGAAATGACTCATTCAGTGAACTATTCGCGCCACGGATGAATGGTTCCACTTGTGTTGGCCCTAGTCGCGTCTTGAACCACTCGCGAACAGCCAGGTGGGTTGGTGAACCAACCGCATACACGGCACTCTCCCCCCCCCATCCCTCTGAAACACAGCGTGGAGGTGTGATCCCCGCTCGTTGGCAGCGTGAATGATCACCTGCAAAGTGATCTGCCGCCAGTCCTAACTCCTCTGACACCTCCTCCTTTGGCAGCGCATCCCCTTCGCGCGCCTTCACTGCACAGCGCATCATAACATGCCTGAAATGCACGCTGACGCGTTGTGCAACCGAATATTCCAACCTTCTGCTTCCGCCACTCTCTCTAGCGACGTTGACTTCGTTTCCAGTGCCGCGTGCCCGTTTCTTATTGCTACGTGGGTGCCACCGTCGCGTCTCATTGCAGCCATCGACGGAAACTTTGGGTTGGCTTCCTGCAAGTTGTCACAAATGTAGAAGAATGTGACGATATGTTATAGTGACTTGAGCTGGTGGTGTGGTGATATGGTAATGGAGTACCATACACATTGAGGGGTATGGTGATATGGTAATGGAGTGAGCAAAAACAGTAGGTGGTGTTGCAAATCGGTAATGGCATCATCATAAACGGTGGGTGGTGTGGTGAGGTGGTTGAATAGTGGGCATAAACAGATGGGGGTGTAGTGATGTGGTAATGGAGTGAGCAAACACAATGGAGGGTGTGGTGAGGGGGTGATAGAGTGAGCAAAAACAATAGGGGGGTGTGCTGCTGTGATATTGGAGTGAGCAAACACAGTGGGTGGTGTGATGAATTGGTATTGGAATGATAGAAACCATTGAAGGGTGTGTGGTGATATGGTAATGAAATGAGCATAAATAGTGGGTGGTGTGGGGATGTGGTAATATAGTGAGCAAGAACGGTAGAGGGGTGTGGTGATTTGATAATGGAGTGAGCAAAAACAGTGGGTGGTGTGATGAATTGGAATGGAATGATAAATAACACTGAAAGATGTGGTGATATGGTAATGGAATGAGTATAAACAGTGGGGATACGGTGATGTGGTAATGGAGTGAGCAAAAACAGCAAGGGGGTGTGGTGATGTGGTAATGAAGTGGGTGGTGCATTGGGGATAGTATGAACGAGAAGAGTGGCTATGATGATTAGATAATGTACCTGTCTGAGGGGTCGTTGGTGGTGCTTGATCGATTGGTTCTCCCAAGAAATCCGTATCAGCGCGAGCGCCATTGCAAGCGAGTGCGACCACCAGAGACGCTTGTGATGAGGGACGCAACCCATGCTCAGGGTGGATGTCGTACCCCCACAGCTCCTCCACATCCCGCCAACAAACTTCTACTGACACTGGACCCTCCAGCATCTCAACCGCATCACCACCATCTCCCGTTCCCTCATGCGCAGGCACGCCATGTTCATGTATCAATGAGAGCATAACCGGTATGTCAACCGTTTCATTATCCTCTCCATCCTCTTCGCTCCTATGTGGCTCTGGCCCACGACTAGCCTCGTGCAACCCTTTGGCGCACGTCACCTGCTGCAATTCCAGATGCATCCATTTTGCATCGGCCGGTTTCACATAACGATAAACAATACCGAGCTCACTGCAAACTGTCTCGATGAACTCATCCTTTCCCGTTTTGCCCTCCGCTTTGCTTGGAGCCTTCTTTAGTAACCAAGCCTTCAACTTCTTCAAGGTGTGCATGTGAAGGTCCTCAACAGTCTCAGCGTTATCAATATCCACCACTTTTCTAACAAGGTTCTGCAGCTCGTTTTCAAATCTTTTCACCTCCGATCGTCTTTTATGCCACCAGTCAATCTGATGACGGATTCCTCTTTTTACAGCAGCACCTCGAAAGGTGCTACCCTCATCGGTAACAATCCCCTCCATCTCAAACCCCTGCTCCTTGAGGAAGTCCATCCCCCTTTTGAATCCTACACTTTCGAGCCTCGGTGCGGAGTCATCATCGACGTCAAGTTTTGTGGTCTCTACATGCAAGATTTTCATACTTTCAGGATGGAGGAAGGACACAGTACACCACTCTGCCTCTCGCGCTTGTGACCATCTGCCATCAACACTGATGTAACCCACGCCACCCACTCTCTTGGATAAAGTGGTACGCACGTCCCCCATCGAGTTCTGTGCAGCACGAATAATGGCATTCCATAAACCATCTTCACCCTGCAGCAAACGATAGAATGTTCCCTTGCCCGGATTCGGAAGTCCAAGATTGCGACAAACTTCCCACATCACTTGAAATCCTACCCCCGCAAGGGCGAAGGCACCGACGAACCTGGGCATGAGCTTTGACGTCCTTGGCCCGGTCTTTCTCATATTTGATGTGTGCTCCTTTTTCGGACTTGGCCATACTTCCCTGCCGCTTGTGCACGTGTTACAGTGCCAATAAAGTCCGAAACAGGCCCATGCTGTTTTCCACGACACGAGTGCCATACTCCCAGAACAGCCCGCTCGTGTGCAACAAATCTGTAGTGATCCCACCGTTTCGAGCAAGTGCTTCGGTTGTAGAAGGCATACCGTGTACCCAGGCACATCCGTGATGCTTGGAGCGGCTGACCACCCACGTGGAACTGGTTTTGGCCTCTTGCTGGTTGTTTTGTCTCGAGTTGTCGTCCTGTTGTTGGTTGGGCCAGCAAAGGTCAGTGACGAAAATGGATGGGTAGGGATGGAGAGGGTTACTAAACAAAAAGGAGAAGGCGGCAACACCCGAAGGGGAGAAGGATGGCACTTGTTTCTGTAATGCTAGCTGCTCTGTTCCCCACCATATCAGCAAACTATGTTCCCCACCATATCAGCAAACTATCTCCCCAATGCTTGCCCAAGGTAAACAAGCAAAATTCCGTGGGATGCTCGCAAAGATTTCAGAATCTTGAGTATAATAACACACTCCAACCTTTCATTGTGATCCAACGCTGCATCTTCTTGATGTGTTGGTCCCACATGACGGTCACCTCCCTCTGCAATTGTGCACGCCGATCCCACCGTCGGGATGGGGACGCTGTCGAGTTCCACAGCCCCACCATCTGCATCCCCTGCGTGCATATCACACAAGGCGAGTACTCACTGTTTTTTTTTCACGAGATTGGTATGGGGTTTCCGCTTCCTCGAGTTTTGTGCATGTTTTCTTGGCTGGATGTATGGTTAAAGCGGCTTACTAACCTTTCATCCCCATTCCATATCTCACCTTGTGTGTGCATTTCCTCGAACGCCTTGCCTTTCCGGGGCCCACCCCACCCATTTCCAGCAACGGGGCGTAATCGTCCGCGATGATCCTCCTTGTAGGCAGGGAAGTCGTATACAAGCCCCTTGAGTTCACGATCAGCCTTCCCCATTATCGTGGTCACCGCGTTCACACCATCGTTCGCCCGCGAATCAAACTGACGCCCGTATGACTCCAGATGTAGCTCTGCCGTCGCTACCGCATTCGCCCCATTCGCACCTGGATGGGGATTCACGTGGATAAAATGCAGCTTGGTTGCACGATCGTTGTATGAGGATGTACAAACCCCTGGTTATTAGCGCACATGCAACAGCAATCACCACGCGTTCCCACTATCCATAAACATTCACCAGCTTCTTTTGCTGCCCGCATAAGCCGTTTGCATGCAGCCGGAGCATTCATCATAAAGTAGTAGAGAACATCTGCAGTCGTCGCAACGTTCTCGCCTCCCATCAGTGCCGACAACCCGCACCGCTGGAGGCATATGACAGGGCGCATATGCTTTGATATTCCGTGCATAGGCTTGTCATGCTCCTTGCTGAGCTCTTTCGCCGGATGGTCCCCGTCCGGGGCCACATCATTTGTGAGCCTGCGATAGAGGGAGGGCAGGGGGGGGGGGGGGGTTGGGGTGTGCAAAAAAGTCTGTGAATGTGTGCTGGAATGAATGCCTACGGCAGGGAAGCCCAAGGCGGGTAAGCTCAGGCAGGGAAGCACAGGGCAGGGAAGCCCAGGGCAGGGAAGCCCAGGGCGGGTAAGCCCAAGGTGGGTCAGCTCAGGGCAGGGAAGCCCAAGCCAGGGAAGCCCAGGGCGGGTAAGCTCAGGCAGGTAAGCCTAGGCCAGGGAAGCCCAGGGCAGGGAAGCCCAGGGCATGGAAGCTCAGGCCTCAAAATGCCCAGGGCAGGGAAGCCCAAGGGAGGGAAGCCCAGGGCAGAAAATCCCAGGGCGGGGAAGCTCAGGTAGGGAAGCACAAGGCAGGAAAGCCCAGGGCAGGGAAGCCCAGGGCAGGTAAGCCCAAGGCAGGTAAGCCCAAGGCGGGTCAGCTCAGGGCAGGGAAGCCCAAGCCAGGGAAGCCTAGGGCGGGTAAGCTCAGGCAGGTAAGCCTAGGCCAGGGAAGCCCAGGGCAGGGAAGCCCAGGGCATGGAAGCTCAGGCCTCAAAATGCCCAGGGCAGGGAAGCCCAAAGGAAATAAGCCCAGGGCAGGGAAGCCCAGGGCATGGAAGCCCAAGGCGGGGAAGCTCAGGTAGGGAAGCCCAGGGCAGGAAAGCCCAGGGCAGGTAAGCCCAGGGCAGGGAAGCCCAGGGCAGGTAAGCCCAGGGCAGGAAAGCCCAGGGCAGGTAAGCCCAGGGCAGGGAAGCCCAAGGCAGGGGAACCTCAGGGCAGGGGAAGCTCAGGGCAGGGGAAGCTCAGGGCAGGGGAAGCTCAGGGCAGAGAAGCCCAAGAGGATTGTGCCTTTTGTGAGAGGCGAAAGCGTCACTCTATCCAGATATTAGAGCATGGCGGTGGGAGCGCCGTGGCGCAGTGTGCCTGTACCTCTCAAGAGTGACAAATGTGCCAATGCACTGGCATGGTGTTATGCCATGTGGGGGGGTATGGGACCATTTCCAAATCCGACCGAAGGTGCTTACTTCACTGGCATGGTGCGTGATTGGTGATGCATGCTCCAATACGGACCTGCCTGAGATGTTTTTTTGACGCCGACGAGCCATCGGTGCTGCGGATTTGGGTGGCAACTGTATTTAAACTATGCTGCTCCGTGTACAGGTGGTTCACGCCTTGCTCCTTCCTACAACGACTGCTAAACCAACCTCTTACGCTCCGTTTTCGAGCGTCCTTAGTGATGCGTAATGGCGCTGCATGGAGACCCTAATCAAGAGCAATACGACCGTGCGGGAGTTTCAGCTGAGAGGCGCACGGGTGCGCTCTGCCATATACTACGTGGGGCGCGCTTTGTTCGATGGGACCTGCGTTTATGGCGCAAGTTGCGCATTAGCTACCCTTTTCAACCCTGGCAAATGCTTATGTACTCTGTCCTCTAAGACCTAGATGTTCTGGGTGCTTGCCTGTTATCGGCGAGTTGAATGCGGCATGATAATAGCGTTTTCTCCGCTTTTTTTATTCAGCAGGTGGGTGTGGGAGTGGTGTGTCGAATTGGTTTGTGTACAAGGCGCACCTAGGGTTGTGTCCGAAGTGTGGTGGTTGGTACGCCAAACTTGTGTTATGTTTTTTACCACAAATTGGTTCTTCACTGTGATTGGGTATCATTCAGCTGCGGACAACAAGCTTTCGCCACCCCCAAAATCGCCAATTTCGCTCATGCGGTACCCCACTTCCAACACCCTTCCCCTTGGAAGTCTCTCGCCAGGCTCATCCCCCCCCATCAAGATTACTATTGTTGTGCAATTTGGGCCTTGAGCTTTAAATGCTAGATCAGCTGTACATGCAAAATTGGGCAAACATGCAATGATTGCTTCTGGTGACGTCAGAAAATGTAGAATCGAGAGCCAATCATTCCCGATTTCGCTTTGCATAATCCGTAATCGCATCTATTCTCGACTGTTTGTGCTAATTCGAAACGAATCTTGGTAAGCGCATCATATTACGATAACAAATTTCTAAGCTGCGTAAAGTGTACACACCTGCGGAATAACATGGCATGCACTTGAATACATTTCCCAGGCTAAGTTGCATGCACCTGAAAATGGCCGAAAGGAGGGACATGAAGTCTCGAAACGGCAAGCAAGGACAGCCGTCCGTTAGCTTGTGGGGATCTAATTGCTCTGTCGCCGATTTCTTTATTTGTTACAGATCCATCCCACATCACTGTACATTCATCCTCTTGCCAGAATTTTCTTGTGAAGAGCCTGTCAAGCCCATAACGTACTGTACATTATGTATTGGTCCTACGGTCAGAACAGACCCACCCAAAATTCCTTTCGATCAACCCACACCACCCGTTTCAGGACCATCTGGAGGCGAACGCTTGTGAGCCACCACCACTCCCTTCCACCTTGCAAAACTGTTCACTGGCCAAAAAGCAGAACAAACCCAACTTGATCATGGACGGTGGCATGTCGAGCCACGAGTTTTGGCTCGAGTAGTAGGCTTGGGTCAGCGCCGATAATCCCGACCGTGTATTCCAAGCGTTGATGTTTATTGTTTCAAAACGCGGGAAAGTGCACCGGTAAGGGCAAGTGAACGCAGCAGTCACATAATGTGTATTACGATACTAGTGTACATAAACTACCTGATGGATACACATTTGTTTACCTACTTCTACTAACACCACCTTACAATGCACTAATCCGTGCATTTAACGTATGGCTGACAGCACAAGCCCACATAACACAGCAGCGAATTAGCACTTACATGTCATTATTTCTCCTGTCTTTCCCTCTCCACTATATGTGTGTAAACCAATTCATTCCACGTGTCTGGAACGCCTGGTAAGCACCAATGTAGGCAGTCTTGTCCCTTGGGCGTGTCATATCGGGGATCCCAGATGGCTGGGTGTGCATCACCACGGTAGGCCGACAGGTGCGTGATGTTCAACAGGTGTACTGAAGTTCCCAACACTCCATCCTCCTTTTCAGCATCCCTTGTTGTCATATTGGCCACCTCCGTATTGGTCAAAACAAGAAATAATAACCATATAAATTGCCATCAGGAACCCTTGAGGCAATGTATGGACGTGACCAAACCATCACAAACCACATATTATATAATGCACAGACATATGTAACTATAAAAATTGAACAAAAACACTATCACTACGTACCTTGAGATGGTCGCAACGCCCACCCGAGTCCCACTCGCCCTCCATAAAATGCCTCGGCGTAATCGATCGCAGAAACACCATCGGCTTCGTGTCCGGCGTCGCAAAAATCGCCGTCCTCATCTTCGCACCCCAACCTGCCGCCAAAGCCGAAAGTTCCATAGCCGAACCCAACTTCCGCCTCACTCCCTCTCCTCCTCCCTCTCCCTCTCCCTCCTCTTCTCCCACAAACTTCCCTTCTCCTGGCTTCACCAGCAAACTTCCCTCCCCCCCGCTCCCTTTCAGCCACTCATCAATCCACACAGACACCGACCGAATGGCCGTTTTCAGCGCCAACGCCATGACCATCGGCCGCTTTTTCACGGGCGGCGCCTTGCTCCCATTCAGGAAAAACTCCAGAGCATTATCTCTCATCTTCACCCGGTTCCAGTGGTGCCCCGTGTTCATCACCACCACATCCAGCTCCTTAAGAAAGTCTCTTAGGAAAGTATCAGGCCGGTCTAAGTGCATCGCCTGGCCCTGCTTCCAGTCCTCCTTATTGAACGGCTCGATCTCGCATAAACAAGTCGTCCAGCGGAAAATCACTGTAGTGTTATACTTCACAAATCTGTACGCCCAACCGGTCGGGCGGCGGGCTCCGGGCAGCTGAAAAAACCCGTAATCGGTTCCCACGTCTTGGATGGGGGACGAGGCTTTGGCCATGTTCTTAGGCGGGCCTTTTGGGGAGAGCAGGCAGAGCAGCGACTGGAACTGCTGCTGGCCCAGCGAGTCCCCCACAAAGGCAATGCTCTTGTTGCGCATCCTGCAAGGAAAGGGGGAGGGAGGCCAGGATGGGGAAGGGGAGTGAATGGGGAACAGGAAGCAACTGCTGCTGGGTTAGCGAGTCCCCACAAAGGCAATGCGCTTGTTGCGCATTCTGAATGTGCATGGGGTTGAAATCGGGGCAAGGAAAGGGGTGAAATCGGGGCAGGGAAAGGGTGAAATCGGGGCAGGGAAAGGGGTGAAATCGGGGCAGGGAAAGGGGTGAAATCGGGGCAGGGAAAGGGGTGAAATCGGGGCAGGGAAAGGGGTGAAATCGGGGCAGGGAAAGGGGTGAAATCGGGGCAGGGAAAGGGGTGAAATCGGGGCAGGGAAAGGGGTGAAATCGGGGCAGGGAAAAGGGTAAAATCGGGGCAGGGAAAAGAGTGGACTCGGGGCAGGGAAAAGGGTGAAATCGGGGCAGGGAAAAGGGTGAAATCGGGGCATAGGGGTAAGAGCGACATGCAGAGCAGCGACTGGAACTGCGGCTGGCCCAGTGAGTCCCCCATAAGTTGCTCATTCTGAAAGAAGCCACTTCTGAGGATTCTCAAAAGTGTTTTAAAGAAGCAGCAACGAGTCCCAACGAGTCCCACATTTGTTGCGCGTTTTGCAAGAAGCAGAGATGTGAAAAGAGGAGAAGAGGAAGGAGGAGCAGTGAAGGGGAGGGGCTGGGGAACAGGAAGAAACTGCTACTGGCCCAGAGGGTTGGAAACAAGGCAAGGCGCATGTTACGCACTCTGGGTGGTGTTTTGAGTCGACTCAAAACACGGCTCATTTCACTAGGCACTTGCTACGCACTCTGGGTGGGAAAAAAGTGGGGTGTAGGAGGGAAGAGGAGGAACAGGGAGTGTGTACGGAAACAGGACGAGTACCTTTAGCAGGCCCAAGGAGTTGCCCACACGAATCACTCTATCCCTGCCCCTCTGCCCTTCCTCTCATACCAATCACACTCTATCCCTACCCATCACCTCTTCCTCTCATACCAAATCACACTCTATCCCTACCCATCACCTCTTCCTCTCATACCAAATCACACTCTATCCCTACCCATCACCTCTTCCTCTCATACCAAATCACACTCTATCCCTACCCATCACCTCTTCCTCTCATACCAAATCACACTCTATCCCTACCCATCACCTCTTCCTCTCATACCAATCACACTCTATCCCTACCCATCACCTCTTCCTCTCATGCCGATCACACTATATCCGTGCCCCTTTTGCACACAACTCCAAGGCCCTTTCACACCGTACTCTCACCCCCATTCTCTCCCACCAAAAAGAACCCTCTGCAGCTGAACCGCATTGCACCCATGCGTTCGTCAAGCCGTTACCCACAGCTCTGAGACGCCCTTTCGCACCATACACTCCTCCTTCCCCCAAACCATTCCCCCTCACCCCTGCTTGACCAACGCCCTCACCTCCTGCACAACCCCTCCCCACCACGTTGAACCGCTTCACGCTGCAACCCTGCGACTGTCAGCGGATGCGCTCGTACTTGCGCGTTTTAGACCTCTCACACCATCCCAACTCTACCCCCATACTCACCTCCCGCAAAACCACGCCAGTTCCACCTCCCAGGTCTACCCCCTCACCTGCGGAAAAAGCCCTCCGCGTTGAACCGCTTCACGTTGCACCCGCGCGGCTGCCAGCGCAGGCGCTCGTACCCGCGCATCTCGCGCGGGCGGTTGCTGCGCGCGCAAGCCCAGTTGGTCGAAATCCACCCGCACCTCTCCCCCGAATAGAGCGCGCGCTGCCGCGTGCGCACCCACCGCCCGTGGTACAGGTCGCACAGCGGGGCGGCGGGGGCAGCGGGGACGGGGGCGGGGACGGCGGGGGGGGCGGAGGAGTCGGCGGGGGCGGAGGTGGCGGCGGGGGAGGAGGCGGAGGAAGGGGAGGAAGTGGGGAAGGAGGTGGAGGCAGAAGAGGGTTCGCTGCTGCTGCTGCTACTGTCGCTGCTGCTGCTGCTACTGTCGCTGCTGCTTCCGGTGCTGCTGCTGCTGCTGCTGGCGGCAGTATAAGAAGCTTCAGTCGCCCCCTTTAAAACATCCTCTTCCTTTTCATTACCCCCTTCTTTGTCACCTCCATCCGTCTCCTGTCCCCCGTTATCCGCTGCACTTTCGATACTGTCACCGCCTTCAGTATCACCCCCACTAGCGTCACCACCGCTTGCGTCACTACCGTTACTGTCACCGCTGCTAGAATCACCAGCTTCACTTCCGTCAGACTCTTTCCTAGGCGGACTAGATAACCCTTTTCTCAAACCGCTAGCTAGAACCAGTACCGAGTCAGTCCTTGAAGGAGACCGAACCGACTGCTCCACTCCAGGCTGGCTATTCAGATCCCCTTCTTGACTATCCAGGGAAATATCGTGACTGTATACAGACGAAGCGTGACTATAAGCGTGACTATATGAGGAGTCCGATGCGTTGTTTAGCATCACTAGTTCACTTCTCCTCCACCCTATGGAGAGGGATGGGGGAGAGGGATGACGGAAAGGGAATGGGGAGAGGGATGAAGGAGACGGAAGGGGGAGTGGGAGGGATGAGAGAGAAGCAGTTAGGAAATTGATGCGGGAGTTGGATGAGGGAGAGGGACGAGGAATGAGGGATGAAGGAGGAAGGAGAGAGATGGGGAGTGAGATGAGGGATGAGGGTTGAAAGAGGGGGTGGGGGAGAGGGATGAAGGAGAGGAAGGAAGGAGAAGGGGGGAGCAGAGGGATGAGGGAGAGTGAAAAAGGAAGGAGCATTTTTCGGGCGAAGGAGACCAAGCGTGTGTGGAGGGAAAGGGACGAAGAGGGGAGCAAAGGGGAGTGGGGGAGGTACGGACGACGGGAAGAGATGGCGGAGGAGAGTGGAGGCTAATCGTGAGGAGAGACCAAAATAATTTGAAGCAACTGGAATTCAAACATAGCTACTTGAGCATACACTGTTGATACTTTCGAGAAAATTTCACGGATCCATAACATTTTGACACGTCTCAAAATCAAGTTTATGAGGTTTGATTTTTGAGACTTCCCAAAACCTAGCTGATACTTCACAGAGGATTACTACTTGCTCCGTAAGCCCATAAGCGTGCTTTCGTAAGCACGCAGACATGCAGGCAAAAACATCAGGCGCTTTCTTTCGAATTGATTATTATTATCAATAAAACCGGCTAGTGATGAACTCACATTTCGTCCAATGGCTGGCGTGAAACTGATTCCACGTCATAAAGCCGACTATCGTTAGTAGCACCAGCGCCGCCGAGCATGTCGCGTGCCACCGAGCTCCTCCGCAAATCCAGCAGCCGCCTGCCTTCCCACCGCCCATGACCGCCGCCAGATTCGAGAGGGAACGAGATCGGGATCGGTTGGAAAAGGTGCTGGGAGGTGAGCCGGGAACATTCCCGCTGGCTGCAGTAGGATGAACGCGTTACACGGAGAAAGCAGGAATGAGAAAATTTTAGAGTCGACTAAGAAATGAGGGAAGTGACGATGAGGATACAGAGAGAGAAGCAACGATCAAGGAAGCAAGGAATTCCAGTCGAGAAGCTTCCACCAATGAACGAAAAGGCAAAAATCTAACTGAGTCGCACTGTGCGATCGTACCTGACACCGTCGCGCGTGCGGTCGTACCTGACACCGTCGCGCGTGCGATCGTACCTGACACCGTCGCGTGTGCGATCGTACCTGACGGCCGTCGCGTGTGCGCAACTCCCGAAGCCTCGCTAGGAGCTGACGCCACCGACACTGACAGCGCCGTCGGTCGCGATCGCGCCGAGGAGCCCACCTCCATCTTACGCGACTCCAAGATAAGCTTGCTCTTGAACTCTAAAACGCCTCAAAACTTCTAAGTCTCCCAAAGCGACAGCAAGATGAGATTGCTCTGAAACTGCAATTGGCGACGTCGAGTTTGCTCGTAACGATTAGTTTGTGCCGCGGATATTGATATAGCCGAAACCACCTACTAGGCACCAATAATTCCCGAAAAAGCCTCGAGAACTTTTTGCTAAAGTTGACGTCACGCTCGTAGCACCTAAGCGACTAGCTGCTCAAAGCGAGAGGCTTGAAGGCGTAGTGACAGCCAGTTGAACTCCTTCGTCTGTAAGACTACTAATTACCAGCGAACATGCTTAGGCAAAGCCGATTAACCTGTGTAATACTAAAATTGGCTAGTATCGCCAGCTCTCTGTTCCCATGGAACCTTGAATACAACTGCAGGTTCCGGATTTCCAGAACTATCACAGGGTCGGAAATAGGTCAGCCCTCCCGCACCCTTTCCCTACACTTGCTCTCCAGACGTTACCACAAACCAGAACCTCTTTAGGAGCTTCCGTTGGGTGTCTGCAAGATCTAATGGCTAATTCTCGGTTTCCAGCCACAGCTGAGGCTGGAGAAATACCCTAAGGAACTTGGCTTGGTTTCTGGCCTTTTCTGTGGCAACTCCGTTGACTTGTACGGATCGTGTTGGTTTGATACTTTACAGAACGGGATTCCCAGAGTGCTGTGAGGATGCCGAATTCCTTCCTGGTTCAAGTCACGCAAAGCCCAGCCTCGGTCTTCTCTGACCTGCCCTGTCTCCATGGCTTGTGGTGTGGGTCCGGGAATGCGCTTCGCTTTGGGGGTCGACATTGGAAATTGCTACTCTCGCGAACTTCTTTCACGAAGCAGCTCTGGCGAATTCGCGAAACCTGGTCGCTGTTGAAAGCGCCATGGCAGCCGTCGCGAGACAATGGCCTCCCTCCTTGTTCGGGTTCGCGAACGTCGCCATAGGAATTCTGTCAAACGAGGGTGTCGTGTCGTTCACCTATTTGACAGACAGCCGCAGTCATGGGTGTTGCGCGCTTCGGCAGTCGATGCGCGTGGTTGAGCGGGAACCTGAGTCAGAGCCCGTGTCGCCAGCTGTGACAGGCCGGTGCACCCAATCATGATCCGCGAAAGAGGGGGCGTGGCTTTGAATCATGAATTCAAATTCAGATTGGTGTGACTGTACAGAAGATAGCTTGTACCTGTGTTTAGCTGTGTTTAGCTTGTACTGCATCCATAAATTTACCCTTTCACTTCGATACTGCTTTAAAAGAATCACCGCCTGTGTTTCCATCCCACAATCGTTTTATTCCCAGGCTAGAAAGAGGAACAGGAACTTTTGAGTTTTTCCAAAAGTGATTCCCTAATAGAAGGCTAGAGAGAGGAAGAGGAAGGGCAACATAAGGCCCTTGTGAGTATCCTTGTGACGCTGACTCAAGAGTCACCTCAATCTACCAAGCATAAAGACGGGCATCGGAGGCCGCCATAGCTGTTATCGCGGTTGAGAATAGTGAAGGAGTCAGCGAGCATGCCAAAATGGAGGCTGACCGTTCATAACGCTTCTATCCCCAAACTTGGCGATCATTCCGTGGCTAGGAGGAGCAGAAGGATGGGCGGCGGAGGCCGCCACAGCTGTTGGCGCGATTGAGAAGAGTGAAGGAATCAGCGAGCACACCTGATGCCTGGTGGTTGCGGTACCTGCGCACAGGTGAATGAAACCGGACAGAGTGAAGAAATGAGTGGTGATTGATAGGGAGTGAGAACAAGTGGGAGTGGTTTAAGGGGAAGAGTGAAGGAATCAGCGAGCTCGCCTGTTCCCTGGTGGTTGCGGTACCTGCACACAGGTGAATGAAACCGGACAGAGTGAACAAGCAAGCGGCGATTGGCAAGGAGACGAGTGAAGACCGTCAGCCTGCCGAAAGGACTCCTCGCCTCGCAGTATGCGCTGTATGGTGGATAAGTCTTGATCCTTCACGATGCATGCGTAAGATTACCGATATTCAACGCACCAGCTGTAGGTAGCGGTGTGGTTGTCATTGAAAACGAGCTCAGCATGCCCAAAGGACTCCTCTCGGTACGCGCTGTACGACGGCTGTGGCTCAAGGAAACTGCATGGGAAGAAGTAAAAAAGGAACCAAACATCTTTGCTGCTTCAGAAGAAAAAATGTGCTGTGAAGACAACAAGTCAGGAATGCCAGTGGTGTACAAATGACAAGTCATATATGGAATCGGCACCTGGTCAAAGGCAAGTTTTGAGTCGACTCAAACTCGGCACCTGGTCAAAGGCAAGTTTTGAGTCGACTCAAACTCGGCACCTGGTCAATGGCAAGTTTTGAGTCGACTCAAACTCGGCACCTAGTCAAAGGCAAGTTTTGAGTCGACTCAAACTCGGCACCTGGTCAAAGGTGAGTTTTGAGTCGACTCAAACTCGGCACCTGGTCAAAGGTGAGTTTTGAGTCGACTCAAACTCGGCACCTGGTCAAAGGCAAGTTTTGAGTCGACTCAAACTCGGCACCTGGTCAAAGGTGAGTTTTGAGTCGACTCAAACTCGGCACCTGGTCAAAGGTGAGTTTTGAGTCGACTCAAAACTCGGCACCTGGTCAAAGGTGTCTGAGACTGGTGAATCATCATATACCTTGATGAACAAGGCTGGCCAGTTGAAGGAAAAAACCTGGAAATCATGCAGAGCACTCACGGGCCGGCAATCTCCTCGATAATGCCGTATGCATGCACGTGCACATGGCGTAATAAAGAAGCACTCACGGGCTGGCAATCTCCTCGATGTTGCCGCCATCCCCGACTGTCACATGCACGGCGGCACACCCATTCGCCATGCGCTTCATCCCGTACACGGGGTAGCTGCGGTCATACGCATGCACGTGCGCATGCTTGTGCACAAGACTCAATGGAAGAGAGAGAGCACTCACGGGCCCGCAATCTCCTCAATGTTGCCACCGTCGCCCACCGTCACATGCACGGCAGCACACCCGTTCTCCATGCGCTTCATCCCGTACACGGGGTAGCTGCGCTCGTATGCATGCACGTGGCCGCTCGCCACTAGATCCACCCCCGCCTCGTGCAACCAGTCCTCTACCTCATACCGCATCGGCTCGCCCTGATGGGAAGAGGAGAAATGGGGAAAAGGAACTGGGTCACAGGTACTTGTTACTCCACACTATCCAACAGGGTCACAGGTACTCTATCCAAATGTAGCTGCTGCATCTCACATGCAGCAGCTACAGCTATACCTCAAGGTAGTGCCTGTCGTTGCTGTTGCAGAGAGGCACGTGCATGAACGCCACGACCCACCCACTTGAGAGTGCCACAGGTGGTGGTTACTCCATCTTAATATCCAACTGTTTGCATGTCGCTGTTACATGCACCTGTTATATCCAATCCAACTGCCACTGCCATACCTCAAGGTAATGCCCGTCGCTGCTGTTGTAGAGAGGAACATGCATGAAATCGACTAACCACGCACTTGAGAGTGTCACTATCACATGCACCCGCCAAACCCCCGTACCTCAAGGTAATGCCCGTCGTTGCTGTTGTAGAGAGGAACATGCATGAAATCGACTAACCACGCACTTGAGAGTGTCACTATCACATGCACCCGCCAAACCCCCGTACCTCAAGGTAATGCCCGTCGTTGCTGTTGTAGAGAGGAACATGCATGAAATCGACTAACCACGCACTTGAGAGTGTCACTATCACATGCACCCGCCAAACCCCCGTACCTCAAGGTAATGCCCGTCGTTGCTGTTGTAGAGAGGAACATGCATGAAATCGACTAACCACGCACTTGAGAGTGTCACTATCACATGCACCCGCCAAACCCCCGTACCTCAAGGTAATGCCCGTCGTTGCTGTTGTAGAGAGGAACATGCATGAACGCCACGACCCATGGGGTTTTCTCGCGGTCAATACGGCACAGGTCGTCCCGCAGCCAGTACCACTGTGATGATCCGAGACGGGAACGAGCCGGGGAAAAACAAGGAGATTTTTAAAAGAATTAACAGTTACTATAAGAAAAACACCCATTAGCATTTTGTCCATAGGGCAGCATTGTTATTTGTCAATTGATGCCAAGATTGGAAGGAAAGTGCAATCATGTGCATTGTGAGAGAAGTTATAGACCACAACACACCACCACTACAACACACCACCACACCACAGCACACAACAGCACACCACAGCACACCACACCACAGCACACCACACCACACCACACCACACCACACCACACCACAGCACACCACACCACACCACACCACACCACACCACACCACACCACACCACAGCACACCACAGCACACCACAGCACACCACAGCACACCACAGCACACCACAGCACACCACACCACAGCACACCACACCACACCACACCACAGCACACCACACCACACCACACCACAGCACACCACACCACACCACACCACACCACAGCACACCACAGCACACCACACCACATGCCGCTCCTTCCTGTCCATTCACCCTACCTGGTGCGTGTAGATGAGGAAGGGCGAGTAGGAGTTGAGGGCGATCACATGCACGGGGCCGATGTCCAAGGAGTAGAACAGGGACCAGGTACCACACCACACCGCACCACACCACACCGCACCACACCGCACCATACTACTCTGTACCTCACCGCACCACCCTACCTGGTGTGTGTAGATGAGGAAGGGCGAGTAGGAGTTGATAGCGATCACATGCACGGGGCCGATGTCCAAGGAGTAGAAGAGAGGCCAGGTACCACACCACACCGCACCGCACCACACCGCACCACACTGCACCATACTACTCTGTACCGCACCGCACCACACTGCACCACCCTACCTGGTGCGTGTAGATGAGGAAGGGCGAGTAGGAGTTGATAGAGATCACATGCACGGGGCCGATGTCCAAGGAGTAGAAGAGCGGTGCCTTGGATGGGTACGCGTGGTGGTGGTGGTGGTTGGGAGTGATTCCGGCCTGATATCACAAAGGGGTGAAGCAAGGAACGGAACAGCGAGGGAGACACAGATGAGACTAAGATGTCAAGGGAGTAGAAGAAAGGCGCCTTGGATGGGTACGCGTGGTGGTGGTGGTGATTGGGAACGATTCCGGCCTGATACCACACAGGGGTGGGGTGATGGCGATCACATGCACGCAGCAATTCACCCCACCTAGGCACGAGCTGCAACCGCTATGAGAAGCCACAACCCACAGTCCTCACCTTGGCCAGCAGGCTGGCCAGCAGCGGGTGGTGGTGGTGCAGCAGAGGGGGGATCCGCGCAGAGTACGCCTCGAATTGAACGAGCTGTACCTGTTGCAATAACGCCTCAGAAATACCCCCTCGCCCTCACCTTGGCCAGCAGGCTCGCCAGCAGCGGGTGGTGGTGGTGGAGCAGAGGGGGGATCCGTGCAGAGTACACCTTGAACGGGCGCAATTCGCCCCACCTAGGCACGAGCTCAATCTCGTGGTTCCCTGGCACGTGCACCACAGGCTGGGGGGAGGATAGGTGGAGAAGACAAGGGGAATGGAAGTATCGGCAATAAAGGCCAGAGGGATAATATCAGCTCGCCCCACCTCGGCACGAGCTCAATCTCATGGTTCCCTGGCATGTGGGCCACAGGCTGTGCGGGTGAATAGGTGGGTGGGGCAGAGGAGGGAAATCAAAGATGTCAAGAATAAGGGCAAGAGGGATAATATAAATTCACCCCACCTAGGCACGAGCTCAATCTCGTGGTTACCTGGCACGTGGGCCACAGGCTGTGTGGATGCGACAAGGAGAGAGAAGGTACAGACGACGAGACACCTTAAAGATCGTTTTTTTTTTTTTTTTTTTTTTAAGCACACCCTACACGTGACAGCAGCAGGCAAGGGCAGCAGTGTTGGAGATTCTTTTCTTCAAAGAAACATTGCTGGAAGTTCCTGATAAAAAAAAGAGGCACAAGATACACCAAGGCTCGTGCTCACAGAAGAACTCACGATATGAGCAAAGACCTTCTCGGACAAGCGGCCGTACGAGTCCCACCGCACTCCACCCAGCCCACATATCTTGCTCTTCCTCTCGCGCTCCTTCTCCCACTCGCTCCCGCTCTTCCCAGCAGCCTCAGGCGATTCAGACGCAGGGAGGGGTTGAGAAGAGTCCACCGGGGTGCAGTGCGGTGGGCCGTACTTATCAGCGTAGCTCAAATCTCCTGCAAACAGCACCAGGCTGGGGCTGCCGGCTTTGACATTGTCAAACGTGGTGCTGCTGTTTAGGGTTTGACCCACATCGCCTGGAAGGAAGGATGGGGGGCAATGGAGACCAAAGGGAGAACGGGAGGAGCATAGCATGAGAACAGCACCAGGCTGGGGTTGCCTGCTTTCACGTTGTCGAATGTAGTGCTGCTGTTGAGGGTCTGACCCACATCGCCTGGGGGGATGGGTAGAGGGGGGAAGGAAGATGAAGGAGAGAGCACTGAGGTCCCCGGCAAACAGCACCAGGCTGGGGCTGCCGGCGTTGACGTTGTCGAATGTGGTGCTGCTGTTGAGGGTCTGACCCACATCGCCTAAATGGGGGCAATGGGGGCCATAGGGAACGGAGACCATTGGGAAGAAGCAAAGAACATTCAGCATGCGAGAAGCACCAGGCTGGGGCTGCCGGCGTTGACGTTGTCGAATGTGGTGCTGCTGTTGAGCGTCTGACCCACATCGCCTGGATGGGGAACCATGGGAGCAGGACAGCATCGAAGAGAGGGAGGGAGGGAAGCCGGATTGGGAGAGAGAGGAAGGAGGGTGGCCGGATTGGTAAAGCACTCAGGCTTCTTGCAAACAGCACCAGGACGGGGCTGCCTGCTTTCTTTCACGCTGTTGATTGTGGTGGGTGGGTGGGCCACCAGCCACCAGCCACCAGCCACCAGCCACCAGCCACCAGCCACCAGCCACCAGCCACCAGCCACCAGCCACCAGCCACCAGCCACCAGCCACCAGCCACCAGCCACCAGCCACCAGCCACCAGCCACCAGCCACCAGCCACCAGCCACCAGCCACCAGCCACCAGCCACCAGCCACCAGCCACCAGCCACCAGCCACGGAAGCAAGAGGTCCGTGCACTGACAGTCAACGAGCAAGAACGACCACACAGGACCTCTTGTACTAGCCACCACACAGGAAAAAATCAGACTCACTCACCCACAAGTGCGACTTTGAAGGGGTATGCGGAGGCAGAGCCAGGGGCGGGGAGCGAGACGAAGGAGTGGGTGACTGGGGAGCCTTCGTTTGAATAGAAGTAGCGCGTGGAGGGGAGGAGAGGTCCGATGGGTGGAGTGAGGTGTAGGACGCAAAGGGACTCGCTGACTCACCTCATAGGACAGAAATGGAATCACTCACCCACAAGTGCGACCTTGAAGGGGTACGTAGAGCCAGGGGCGGGGAGCGAGGTGAAGGAGTGGGTGACTGGGGAGCCTTCGATTCGATAGTAGTAGCGCGTGGAAGGGAGGAGCGGGCCGATGGGGATGAAGAAGGTATCTCCCGACACGTATGCCCCGTCTGTGCCCTCTGCAAAGGCGTAGCGGAAGGAGCGGCCGCTGTTTGTGGCAGGGGATGGGGATAAAGTCACAAGGGGGGGATGGAGGGAAGGAAGGCAATCTGAGTGGCGATATATATGAAGTAGGTAAGAGTGGCGGTATGTTCCCACACGTACTGGTATGGGCATGGGGATAAACTCACAAGGAGGGAATGGAGTGAAGGCAATCTGAGTGGCGATATATATATGAAGTAGGTATCACCCCTACCTACACGTACTGGTACGGGCATGGGGATAAAGTCACAAGGAGGGCACGGAGGGAAGGCTCCATCTGTGCCCTCTGCAGATGCGTGCACATTAGACAACCAAGTTACACTCCCATTTTCAGGTGTACACTCGAAAAGTGTCCCACCTGACCAACTGGTCAAGAATGTTTGGGTTGGTGGCATTGTATGCTTGCGCCTGCACATTGAGGCGAACCAGCCAAGTTACCCTGCCATTTCAAGTGTACATGTAGAAGTTGCCCCACCTGGCCGACTGGTTGAGGGCGTTTGGGTCCGTGCCATAGAGCACCGAGCGCTTGTGCCTGCACGTTGAGATGAACAGAGCTGCCTTTCCAATCATAAGTAAACACATGGCTTTTGCCGCACCTGGCCGACTGGTTGAGGGCGTTTGGGTCCGTGCCATAGAGCACCGAGCGCTTGTGCCTGCACGTTGAGATGAACAGAGCTGCCTTTCCAATCATAAGTAAACACATGGCTTTTGCCGCACCTGGCCGACTGGTTGAGGGCGTTTGGGTCCGTGCCATAGAGCACCGAGCGCTTGCGCCTACATTTTCTCTCCCCCATCCCGCCTTCCACCAACCTCTCCTGCACCTCCCCCTCCTCCTCCCCTTCCCCCTCCCCACCTTCCTCGTCCTCCCCCTCCCCGTCCTCTTCCTCCTCCCCCACACCTGCTTGCCCAGAGATAGACTTGATCTCACGTCTTGCCTCTTCTCCCAACTCATTAAGCAGGTCAACAGACAGCTTGTGCCTCTTCCCCTCTTCCTCGTCCCCCTCGTCCTCTTGCTCCTCCCCCACACCTGCTTTCCCCACCCTAGGTTTTATGACACGTCCTGCTTCTTCTCCCAATTCATTAAGCAGGTCAATGGGCAGCTTGTGCCTCTTCTCGCATGCGGTTAACGGCATGATGTTAGGAATGATGAATCGCACAAACATGAAGAGCCCGTCAGGGGAAGCTGGGGCGAGAAGCACCTGGGGAAGGAGGGGGGACGGCGGAGGGGAGAGGGTGGAGGGGAGAGGGTGGAGCGGAGATGGGAGAAGAGCGCATATCACGGGCAGCTTGTGCCTCGTCTCGCATGCGTTTAACGGCATGATGTTAGGAATGACGAATCGCACAAACATGAAGAGCCCATCAGGGGAAGCTGGGGCGAGAAGCACCTGAGGGTGGGGTGGGAGAAAAAAAGGTGGAGGGGAAAGGGGAGAAGAGCGCATATCATGGGCAGCTTGTGCCTCTTCTCGCATGCGTTTAACGGCATGATGTTGGGGGTGATGAATCGCACACACATGAAGAGGCCGTCGGGTGAGGCGGGAGCGAGAAGCACCTGGGGGTTGGGGTGGAGGGGAGAAAAAGAGCATTGGCGCTGGTATCTCTTCTCGCATGGGCTTAACGGCATGATGTTGCGGATGATGAATCGAACAAACATGAAGAGCTCATCAGGAGAAGCTGGGGCGAGAAGCACCTGGGGGGAGAGAGGGGGGGATGGCGGGAGAGGGGGGGAGGGAGGGCATAAGCATGAGCAACTTGTGCCTCTCCTCGCATGCGCTTAACGGCATGATGTTGGGGATAACAAACCGTACAAACATGAAACGACCGTCGGGAGAAGCTGGGGCGAGAAGCACCTAGGAAAAAAGGGGGAGACGGTGGAGGAGAAACAGTGGGCGAGAAGAAAGCATAAGTTGGGTTGCCAATTGGTGTTTCATCTAGCATGGGCTAAACGGCATGGCGCTGGGGATGCTGCACCGTACAAACGTGAAGAGACCATCGGGAGAAGCTGGGGCGAGAAGCACCTGCTCAGGGCAGTTTGTGCCGTTCTGCTGGTGGTAATCCAAGGGAATGTCAGGAGCCGTGTAGGGTGACTCAAACGGGGGGCTTGCGAGGTCAGGATCTGGCACTGCACGGTACGCCACTCCCTGCGCTGTAAGCACATTCAACAGAGAAATTGAAGCAAAAAAAAAAAAAAAAAAGGCATACGTCAGGTTGTGGAAACAGACAAAGATGAAGAAAGAAAGACGCAGAACCTCTTGCACTGTAGTTTCTGTTTTCGGGGAAGGCTGCTTATTCGGGAATATGCTGCTTACACGGGGGTGGCTGATTCAGCTTCAGCTGTTTCGTCTCCTTCGTCTTCGGCTGCTGAGGCGCCTGCCTTTGCTGAGAATCAACCAAGTCTCTCGCAAGAAAGGACCCGCTTCCTCTCAGTCCGATCCTGCTCCTGCTGCTGCTGCTGCGGCTGCGGCTGCCGGTGTCGTCATTTTCAGTGACGGCGTCTTGCTGTTGCTGCTGCTGCAGCAGTTGCTGAGGCTCTGCCACGTCAGCCGACGACAGGCGAAGGACGCCGGGGAAGAACGGCCTGGCGGAGAATCCCGCGCACGCGGTAAGGCCGGCGAGGAGTAGCAGCGGGAGGAACGCGGCACGGATTCCCGCCATATCTCGCACGCGGATTCGCAAACGGAGGAACAGTTAAGACCTAAACGCGAATTCGCGGTCGGGAAAGGAGGCACGCACGATGCAGCGATGCGCCGGGAGAGATATGACGAGAAAGCTCAGCTGGTTGTTGCAAATTCAAGAACTCGCATCAAGAAACAACAGCAGCAGCAACACCGACAACAGCAGACAAGGGGGCTGCTTGATTTGTGTGCTGCCGAGATTCGTCTGAATGCGGCTCCATAAGGTGTTTTACGTTTTAGAGTGGTCAATAACGGTTACGGCTCTGTGCTAGATTCGCGAATTCCGAGAGCCTTGAAAATGCCGCACGTTACAGGGCAATCACAGGAGCTGGAACTATGTAATAAAAAGACAGACAGTTACACTTCAAAGGCCAAAACCTTTATGACCAAGAAACCCATAGATATTGTGAGACCTTCCAATTTGTTCTTAAGCAATCACATATTTTTTCACCACTTCAGATATAAATAAATACTAAGGCAAATCACTGGTGTTCCTGCTGCGGGTGCATACCATGCGATGCCCTCCTAGCCTGGTACTGCTGCCATGCAGATCCTGTCCCGCCTAAATCCCCACTGTTGCCAATGTTACCACTGTTACCAACGTTACCACTTCCTCCCGACCCACGCAATTGCTCATGCCCAGGCTGTTGCCAGTGCAACTGCTGCATGTACTGCTGAGGAGGAACAGGGGAACCCCCACGCCCTCCTCCATACATTGAACCTGGACCGTTATTATACCTTCCCCCAGCTCCTCCTCCCCCCACATTGTAACTACTTGATATCGGCGCGTTACTGTAGCTTTGGTTCATGTACTGATTTGAATGCTGCCGCTGCTCCCACTCCCCTGTAGAGAGGGTCCTTCCAATTCCCCCCAGCCCTACAGGCTGCCCTATATAATCACCACCATACCCACCAGCAGTGCCATTCCCACCACCACCAACACCACCACCATTGAAACCCTGAGAACCCGGACCTGGGCCTGGTCCGGAGCCCATGCCAACTCCCGAACCTGGCCCCGAACCTGGACCCATACCTGATCCCGACCCTGCTACCATGCCTGGGCCCATGCCTCCTCTCATGTCTCCCCGCATACCACCAGAATAACCCCCCCCAACACCACCAGAAACTTGAGTCGAAGACCCATACCCACCCATACCCTCTGCCCCCTGTTCCCATCCACCCCCCATTCGCCCCCCTCCTCCCCCTGCCCCCCCTGCCCCCCCTCCTCCTCCTCCTCCCCCTCCCCCACCCTGCCACATCTGCTGCGGGTACTGGTTAGGCGGCGGTGGCGGGTAGTGGTCGTAAGGCCGCTGGGAGTAAGAGGGGTTCTGCTGCGGTTGGGGGTGGTGGTATGGGTTTTGCTGGGAAGAGTAGGGGTACTGGCCGGGTGACTGTTGCAGGGGAGCCGTGTGGGGGCCTTGCAGGGGGAAGTTGTGGGGGCGGTCATGAGGGGGGATGGAGAGGGAGGAGGCTCGGTGGGGGGAGACGTCTCTGCTTGGGGTGATGGGTGGGGAAGGGAAGGGAGGAGACATAGAGAGGAGGGGTGAGGAGAATCATGTGCTAGAACATGTGTAGATGAGGGTGTGAAGGGGAATGGAGAGGGAGGAGGGTCGGTGTGGGGAAAGTCTCTGATTAGGGGGGTGGAGGGAAAGGGAAGGGAGGTGGAGAAGAGAGGAGGGATGAGGCAAATCATGTGTTGGGAAACAAGAGGAGACAAAAAGGAGACACAAAAGAAAACAAGAAAGTAAGAAAGAACAAAAGAAACAAGAAAGTTAGAAAGGAGGCAAAAGCAAACACGAGAAGACACAAAGAGACCCTCTTACCTCTGATTCCAATGCCCCACTGGCCCTCCACCACCAAACCGATCGCCACCGCCACCGCCACCGTACCCATCCCCACCGCTGCCATACCCATCTCCACCGCTGCCATACCCATCTGCACTACTCCCCCTAGCGACCATCTGAGGAGGAGGAGGAGAAAGACCGTGCGGGCCCCCATACATCCCTCCACCCCCACCACCACCACTACCCCCACCAGCACCACTACCACCGGGACCAACACCGATTCCACCAAAACTACTGCCGCCGCTGCCGCTGCTGCCGCCGCCGCCGCCACCGCTGCCGCCGCTGCCACCAGTGCCAACCCCACCCCCACCCATGCCCCCATCGGGGAACAAGGGCTTTGCACACCCGTAGCTTGAGGGTGATCGGGGGGAAGATGGCTCAGGAGAGCGTCTCGATATAAGCTGATCCTGTACAGGCTGACGTTGCTCCAACCCACCATACTGCTGCTGCTGCTGCTGCTGCTGCTGCTGCTGAGAGTTCTGGTGGTGATAGGGAAGAGAACCAGTGGGAGCATATGCACCGGAATCTGGTTCAGGAGACATTCGCCTCTGGTTATACCCTTCCCTCTCCCTCTCCCTCTCCCTCTCTCTCTCCCACCTATCCCTATCCTGCTCCCTCTCTCTTTCTCTCTCCCGGTCATAAGACGAATACCCATCCTTCTCCCCCCCAAACGATCCCCCACCTCCGCCATACGCCCGATCCCCCCCCGCTCCCTCACTCCCCTCCAGGTAAGCCGCTTGGTCCGGAAGGGCCGGCATTCCGTGGCTGTATGTGCGTCCTGACTCTCTTCCCGGGAGGCGGCGGGGCGGCGTGAGAGGGCCGGAGAGAGCCTTGGGCTTGCTGTTGCTGCCTGTGCTTCTAGGCGGGGATTTGACCGGGTAATTGATACTGCTGTTGCTGCTGTTGCCTGTGTTTCCCACATGCTGTAGCTCATTAGATGTAGGGCTGTGTGTGCGATTGAGAGGCATCTGCTGCTGCTGCTGGTACTGGTGATGAGGAGGAGGTGAGGTTCGGTTGTCCTGGCTCGGGAAAAGAGGCTCGGGGCCCGAACCTGAATGGCTTCTACCACTAGCGCTGGAAGCTGCAGTGCTGCTGGCGGAGAAGAGAGGCTCGGGACCCGAACCTCCACCAGAGCCTCGGAACAACGGCTCCGGGCCACCATTACCAACCAAACCACCAGCAGAAGAGGCAGGCCCTGCTGCAAACAAAGGCTCTGGGTCCCCCCTACCACCACCGACACTGCCACTGCCACCAAACAACGGCTCTGGATCCCTCCTACCACCGCCGCCGCCGCCGCCGCCGCCGCTGCCACTGCCACTGCTACCAAAGAGAGGCTCTGGGTCACCCCTGCCGCCGCCGCCGCTGCCACTGCCCCCAAACAAAGGCTCTGGTCCGTTTCTAGCAGCGCCAGCACCAACACCAGCACCAGCAAAAGGCCCATTACCAGCAGCATCACCAGCGAGAAAAGCTTGTGCATGATCAGCCATCTCTCTCAGGTCAACAGTAGGGCTGCTGCGGGTTCTAGCAGGTGGTATCATTCCCCCTCCCCCTCCTCCTCCTCCCCCTCCTCCTCCTCCTCCTCCTCCCCCTCCTCCACTCCCTGCTAGACCAAACCCACTGCTGTTTTCCCCTCTTGAGTACATATGCTGAGGACTCATTCGCCCTCCTCCGTTCGCCACCAAGCCTGCTGCCGAGCCTGGAAAATACGGAGGTCCGGCGCTGTAATCCCGCGCGGCCATGTCGTCCCTCCATCCGTGCCTGCCAGGTCCGGCAGCAGGACCGGAGTACATGCCAGGTCCGGACAACGCCGGGCCTGAGGGAGGAGGCATGGAAGACGGGGGCCCGGATGGAATCGGACCGGAATCGCGCCAAGACGGGTGTTGCTGCGGCTGATAATTGAGGTGCTGATGCTGCTGCTGCTGCTGCTGCTGCTGCTGCTGCTGCTGCTGTTGCTGCTGTTGGTGCTGCTGCTGTTGTTGATGCTGCTGCTGCTGCTGATACTGCTGATGTTGCTGTTGTTGTTGCTGTTGCTGCTGTTGATGGTACGAGGGTTGCTCCCATGGGGAAGGATAGGAGGGCTGCGAGGACACTGACCTGGGAGACATGGGTTGAGTGGCGAGAGAGGGTGAGGAGGTGGGATGAAAACCGAGGGAGAGGGGAGAATTAGGATGAAAGAAGGCGAGGCAGACAAGATCAATGTAGTGGCAGCAGGAGAAGAAGCAAGGACGGGTACATGGGCTTATTTGGAGCGAGGGTGGGGGGTGAATCAACTTACCTGGTGCGAGGGTGGAGGTTGAATGGACTTACCTGGGAGAGCGGGGAGCGTCCATATGACCTGAACTCATGCCTCCACTGCTCATCCCTCCGCCGCTAAAGCCCCCACCACTCATCCCCACCCCTACGGGCATGGGACTGGGCCCCACTGGCACTGGCGCTGGCCCTGCAACGAATACATGCTGCATGAGCTTGTGCGCTCGCAGGCGGTGGGAGGGGAAGGAGGTGCATGAGATGGGCACGAGCTTACCTGGGAGAGCGAGGAGCATCCATATGACCCGAACTCATGCCTCCACTGCTCATGCCTCCACCGCTCATCCCCACCCCCACGGGCACAGGCCCTGCGACGAACACGTGTTGCATGAGCTTGTGCGCTCGCAGGCGGTGGGAGGGGTTGACAGCGAGGCAGTGGCGGAGGAAGTCCTTTGCGCAGTCTGAGAGATGGCTGGGGATGGGCGGTGGGGTTGTCGTGCCGCCTATTCTCAGAATAGCCGCCATCTGGGGGCGGGGAAGGGGGCAGGAGGGAAGGGGGGCGGATAGAGAGTGGAGAGTGGAGGGAGGGAACACCAGAGGGGTTAAGTGAGACGGACTGGGGATGGGTGGGGGCTTGTGGTGCCGCCTATTCTCAGAATAGCTGCCATCTGGGGGCGGGGAGTGGGGAAGCGGGACGGAGAGGCAACAAGGGAGGGAGAGAAAGAAGAGAAAGGAGAGGGGAGAAGGGAGGGGGGGAAGCCAAGAGGGGTTGACTGCACGGCAGTGGCCGAGGAAGTGCTTGACGCAGGGATGCGTAGGCGCGGTGCGTGTGCATACAAAAAACAAACTGACTGCTGAGAGTCACTTTTGAGAGTTCTCAAAAGTGCTGAGAGTTGATTCAGAAACCCACCCCGTCAGTAGGGGGGAAATCCTCCTGGCCGTCCTGCCCTGCCCCCCTCCGTGCCAAGCCACGATCACCCTAACAAACTGAGTCCTGAGAGTGGACCCAGAAACCCACCCCGTCAGTAGGGGGGAACCCTCCTGGCCGTCCTGTCCTGCCCTCTGTGTCAAGCCAAGCCACGATCCCTAACAAACTGACTCCTGAGAGTCGACTCCAAATCTCACCCCGTCAGTAGGCGACGCCCCCCAGGGCGGCCTGACTTCAACGTCAAGCCAGGGGATGTGCAACACAGACGCTTGTACGTGACAGCCCTAACAAGGTGCCTCCTGAGTCGACTCAGAACCTTATCCCCTATCACTTCAGCTCACACCATCAGCTCAGCTCACCCCGTCGGTAGGTGACGCCCCCCCAGGGCGGCTTGCCTTCGACGTCAAGCCAGGGGATGCGCAGACAGTTATCAACGACCCTAACAGGCTGACTCTTACCGACCCTGAAACTCACCCCGTCAGTGGGCGATGCCCCCCAGGGCGGCTTGCCTTCGATGTCGAGCCAAAGGATGCGCAGACGCTTTATGTGGCAAACGCTAATGTGCCGACCATTGAGTCGACCCAGAAACCACTCACCCCATCAGTGGGCGACGCCCCCCAGGGCGGCTTGCCTTCGACGTCAAGCCAGGGGATGCGCAGACAGTTATCAACGACCCGCATGGCCATCTCTTGAGAGTTGACCAAGAACCTCTTGAAAGTGGACCAGAAACTCACTCACCCCGTCAGCTCTGCATACCCCGTCAGTAGGCGACGCCCCCCAGGGCGGCTTGCCCTCGACGTCAAGCCTTATCAACGACCCGCATGGCCATCTTTTGAGAGTTGACCAAGAACCTCTTGAAAGTGGACCAAGGAACTCACTCGCCCCGTCAGCTCAGCTTACCCCATCAGTGGGCGATGCCCCCCAGGGCGGCTTGCCCTCGACGTCAAGCCAGGGGATGCGCAGACGTTTATCAACGACCCGCATGGCCATCTCAATGACGGTGCAGCCGAGACTCCAGATGTCCACTGGCCAGTTGTACCCCTCCGGCCGCTGGTTGATTACCTGGGGTGTGGGGGGTCGGGGAGCAGAGGGGTGCGGAGGGGTGTGAAGGGGTTGAAGTAAGCAGATGCCTCTCAATGACGGTGCAGCCGAGACTCCGATGTCCACCGGCCAGTTGTACCCCTCCTCCGGCTGCTGGTTGATCAACTGGGAATGGGAAGGCGGAGGGGTGGGGAGGGGTGGGGAGGGATGAGAAGGGGTTGAAGTGATCAGGCGTTAGTAAGTGTCAAGACCCGCATGGCCATCTCGATAACAGTGCAGCCGAGACTCCAGATGTCCACCGGCCAGTTGTACCCCTCCGGCCGCTGGTTGATCACCTGAGGGGAAGCGGGAGGGGGGAGGGGAGGGAAGGAAGGAAGGAGAGGCGAAATGCCAGTCAAAGTTCAGAACTTACCTTAACTTTACCCCCTCACGTTATTCCCCCTCACGTTATTCCCCCTCACGTTATTCCCCCTCACGTTATTCCCCCTCACGTTATTCCCCCTCACGTTATTCCCCCTCACGTTATTCCCCCTCACGTTATTCCCCCTCACTTCCATCCCCTTCCCCCTGAATCCCATGGAGGGAGAACCGGATGTTCCCCTCCTCCTGCCGGTGGATTATTGGGGGGAGGAGGGCAGTGAAGTGGGTGGAAAGAGATTCCATGTATTAGGAGGTACAAACCGGAGCTAACAAAAAAGAGGCAGGGCACAATAACCCCACGCCACAGGTACTGCCAGCCAGTGCCTGACTGCCTGGCAAGATCACCACATACCACACCGAAGGGTACCTCAGACACTCACTCACCTCAGGCGCCATCCACCACACAGTGCCGCGCATGCCCGACATGTCTGCTGGTGTTTCTACCTGCCCATGTGCCATGCCGTGCGGTGTATGGGATGTGTGACGTGTGACGCAGGATGGGGAATGTGTTGTGTGAAGTGTGATGTGCGATATGATAACACAGCAACAGAAAATGATTTAAAAGCAGCGGGGGAGAACGAGGGGAGACGACGAGAAATGGAGAGGAGGAGGGAGAGGAAGAGAGGAGGGAGATGGGGGGAGAATAAGGGAGGGAGATGGACAGAGCAAGAGAGGTGACTCACGTATTTTGCTACACCAAAGTCAGCGAGCTTGGCATTTCCCTTGGTATCCAGAAGAATGTTCTTCCCCTTCACGTCTCTGAAGATGAGAGGGTATCGGAAAAGGAAATACACACCTCAGAGTTATCATTCTGTGCCACTCATTTGAGCCCATAAACAACCACCAACCTAACAGCCCACCCACCGATGCACAATATTATTGTCATGCAGGTATGCCAGCCCCTCCAGCCATGCTCCCACCACCCAGCCCCTTAGTTCCGCCCCACCCACCCACACCCCCCACCCACCCACCCACCGGTGCACGATGTTGTGGTCATGCAGGTACGCCAGCCCCTCCAGCAATGCCTCCCAATACCAGCCCTACCTTCCACCCACCTCAACCGCACACCACCCTCCTAACCCACCCACCGGTGAACGATGTTGTTGTCATGCAGGTACGCCAGCCCCTCCAGCAGCTGGCGAGTGTACTTGGCGATCTGATGCTCCTCCAAGGGCCCAAAGTCCTCGAGGTATTTGGAGAGCGATGTGTCCATGTATTCGAGAAAGAGGTACATGCACTTGTCGTCCTGGTGGGGTGGGAGGGACGGGATGGATGGGATGGGGGAGAAGACAGGCGGGACGGACACAAGCATGTGGTTCAAGTGGTGCTCCTCCCTCCAAAGGGCCAAAGTCCTCGAGGTATTTAGAAAGGGACGTGTCCATGTAGTCGAGAAAGAGGTACATGCACTTGTCGTCCTGGTGGGAAGAGGAGAAGAAGGAAGGAGATGGAAGGCGGGGAGAGGCACAAGGACGTCAAACGGCGCTCCTCCAAGGGGCCAAAGTCCTCCAGGTATTTAGACAGAGAGGTGTCCATGTACTCAAGAAACAGGTACATGCACTTGTCGTCCAGTGGGGGGAAAGGGAAGGGGAGTCGCAGCGAGGACGGGATGAAAGGGAGTGGGGGGACATGCAAGGGCACAGGAACAGGAGAGCTGGTCGGGATGCTTGACAACGCAAGAACAAGTGGACTTGCTTGCACCCATCCAGAGACTAGAACGAGCAGTAAAAAGCAAGCCAAGGTCGCCAAGGGCTCACAGTTTCTGAGCCGAGATATCGAACGATGCGCTTATGACGCATTTTCTTCAACGTGTCAATCTCCTGCAATCGGGTAAGTGGAGAGTGAGGGGGAGAGATAGGATGGGAGGAGGACGAGGGAAACGCGCGGTGGAAAATCCCTTAAGTGAGAATGCAACATGTATGTATGCATCTGTGTGTGAGCGTTTGCACGCGTGTGTCTCTGACCTGACCATCACATGCATGTGCATTATGTGCACGTGCGTGTGTGGATGAGAGAGTGCGAGAATCATGAGAAACATTGGAGAGAATGGAGGGAGGAGAGGAATTGAGTACGGTGGGAGATTGGGGAGGGGAGGGTGGGGGATTGGGGCGGGGATGGTGGGAGATTGGGGAGAGAGAAACATCAATAATGGATATGAGAAATGGAAGGCGCAGCGGGTGTTGTTTGGTCAATCATGCTCACAGGCCCAGACACATGCCCAAACACACATGCATGTGTGTGTGTGCATGAACCCCCAACCACCCACCCGCCCACCCATCCACACATCCACCCCCCCTCCTCTCGCACTCACGCATACACAGCTGGCGTGTGAAATGCCACGCACCTGCACGAGCTGGGAGATAGAGTTGTGGTCCGAGATATTGACCTCCTTGACCGCAAACACACGTGATGTGTCTCTGTGGATACAATGAGGTAGCACGGAAGAGGGGGGGGGGGGGGGAGGGAGGGGCGAGAGAGACACGGTTGTGTGCAACGATAGGAAAGAGCAGACTAATGTGTAGACTCAAAAGCCTCCGAGATATTGACCTCCTTGACAGCAAACACACGTGATGTGTCTCTGTGGATGTGACGAGGTAGTAAGGGGAGAGGCAGACGCATGGTTGTGCGCGATCAAGGAGACAGCCATGTAGCATGAAAGAATATGAGGGAAAGGTCGTCCGCAATCCTCTTTATTCTGAATGCCTGAACGAGAAAAGAAACAGAGGAACCACTTACATGTCGCTTCCTTTGTACACGGACCCAAATCCTCCCGACCCAATTCTGCTGCCCTTCTTCCACCTTCCCCTCTGAGGCACCCACCCCTCTTTTGGGTCGACTCAAAAGCCAACCAGCCTCGAAGCTGCCTGGAAACACTTACATGTCGCTTCCTTTGTACACGGACCCAAATCCTCCCGACCCAATCCTTGCAACGTCTCAAAAGAGGACTTTCGAGATGTCTCAAGAACCACTAACATGTCGCTTCCTTTGTACACGGACCCAAATCCTCCCGACCCAATCCTTGCAACGTCTCAAAAGAGGACTTTCGAGATGTCTCAAGAACCACTAACATGTCGCTTCCTTTGTACACGGACCCAAATCCTCCCGACCCAATCCTTGCAACGTCTCAAAAGAGGACTTTCGAGATGTCTCAAGAAACACTTACATGTCGCTTCCCTTGTACACGGACCCAAATCCTCCCGACCCAATTCTGCTGCCCTTCTTCCACCTCCCTCTCTGAGGCACGAACGTGTCCCCCTCCTCCTCCCCGGTAGCTTCTGCTCCAGCGCCTGCTGCTGTGACTGTAGAGGGGCCTCCTGGAGGCACCAGCATGGAGCCCTCGTTAGTGGAACCTCCCCTGGAGAGGTTCCCAGGGGTGGACGCCTGGCCTGGGGAGGTTGGGTAGTGGGAAGAGGTTTGGCTGGAGGTTCGGGGAAACGGCGGCGGCTGAAACTGCTGCTGCTGCTGTTGCTGCTGTTGCGGGTACTGCGGCTGCGGCGGCTGCTGCTGTTGGTACTGCTGCTGATGCTGCTGCTGCTGGTGCCATGGCTGGGAAGAGTCAGGGTTTGAGTTCTGACTGGATGATTTAGGAAATTGCTGCCAGGGAAGCATGCCTTCTCTCCCCAGCTGCTGCTGGACCTGCTGCCCTAACGGCTGCCCTAACTGCTTCCCTGACGGCTGCCCTAACTGCTGCCCTGAATGCTGCCCTAACGGCTGCCCTAACTGCTGCCCTGACTGCTGCCCAAACGGCTGACCTGATTGCTGCCCCAACTGCTGCCCTGATTGCTGCCCTGACTGCCCAAAAGGCTGACCTATTTGCTGCCCTCCCAGCTGCTGCTGCCCGAAATGCTGCCCAAACCCTGCTCCTCCGGGCAGCCCAACAACATCCCTCCCGTGCCCCTCATTCATCGAGCCGACCCGCGACACCTGGCCAGGGGTGGACGTTTGGCTTGCCGACTTGGGAAACATCGGATTCTGAGACGGTTCAAAGGGGTGCTGTGGGTTCTGAGGCGTTTCAAACGGCAGTGGCGGCCTGTCTGTGGCGGCTCTAGGGGAGGCGACGGGGGATTTGGTGAGGGAGACTGGGAGGGGCTCGAGCTTGGTCACGCTAGGCTTGATTCGCAAGGGGGACGAGGATCGGGTTGAGAGCTTGGAGCTGCTGGCGGGTGGCGTTGCCACGCCTCCAACCATTCCTCCGCCCATTCCACCCCCCATTCCACCCCCCATTCCTCCCCCCATTCCTCCCCCCATTCCTCCCCCCATTCCTCCCCCCATTCCTCCCCCCATTCCTCCCCCCATTCCTCCCCCCATTCCTCCGCCCATTCCTCCGCCCACCCCACCGCCCATTCCTCCTCCCATTCCTCCGCCCATTCCTCCGCCCACTCCACCGCCCATTCCTCCTCCCATTCCTCCGCCCAGTCCTCCCCCTACTCCCCCGCCCATTCCTCCCCCAACTCCTCCTCCCATGTTACCCCCCATTCCTCCGCCCATGATTCCTCCCATTCCTCCGCCCATATTCCCGCTCATCCCTGCCCCAACCGCCCCTCCCATCCCTCCTCCAAATCCCCCACCCATCCCTCCACTCCCTTGCCGATTCAAAGCAGCAGAGCTCCCAGCAACAGGCGCAGCAGCAAAGGGCGCCCCTGCAGGCGGGGACACTCTGTAGCGGCCAGACGGCGAAGTGCCTGCTGACGCGGCCGCTACAGGTGCTACAGGTGCTACAGCCGCTACAGCCGCTAAAGCTGCTAAAGCGCCTTCCATGGGAGAGGGCGCGGGAGTCCGCGGGCTGTGCCCCTGGGATCCCCCACCTAGTAAAGCAACGGGCGCTCCTGAGGTAGACGCGGACCTCCCACGCGCCAGCGGACTCACACCCCCACTTCCCCCACCGCCGCCAAACCCACCATCACCACCACCACCAAACCCGCCATCAGCACGACCAAACCCGCCAGCACCAGCAGCAGCACCGCCCACGCCCCCTGCTGCCCCTCGGCCTACGAGGATTGACGGCGGAGCCTCGTGCGACGGCGGATGGTTCACGGAAACGGCTTCGAGATCCCGAGAAGGGGAGGAATGCACGGGGAAGAGCGCGCGGACAGGCCCTGGTGCTGCTGCTACACCTGACCCTACACCTGACCCAACACCTGGGCCTACACCTGGGCCTACACCTGGAGCCAGTGCTTCCAATCTCCCGGCCATTGGCCCTGAGCCCAGCGCGCCTACTTGTCTGGCGGGAGGGAGGGGCAGGGGGTTGGAGGCTAGAACCCGTCTGTCTGGCGACATGGTGTGCGGATGGGGAGACCTGTGCTCCAACGGCTGTTTCGCAGGGGAAGACCCGTACGGCCCTGCTCCTCCTAATCCCCCTGCTCCTCCTGCTCCTCCTGCTCCTCCTAATCCTCCTCTCCCTGCAGCTCCCATGGACGATGGTTCAGGTGGCGTGGAGGGGCCGCTACGCGGAGAGGACGCGCCAGATGGCACGGTAGGGGGCGCGACTGGCAGCGGCTGCAGGTTCCCCAGGCTCCCCCTCCCCACCGCGCCTGCCGCGCTCGCTGCTGCTGCTTTGCCCACCTCCGGCGGAAAGGACTTGGACACATGCAAGGACGCGAGGCTAGGGTCCGGGCCTGCTTGCAACGCCTTCAGCTCCTGCTCCGTGTCCGTCTTAAGATCGTCCGCGAAAACCCACGGGTTGGAGGAGTCACTCCCCCCCCGACCCCCGCCTGACATAGAATCCGGTCGCCTCCGCCTCTCCCCGTCCTCCGCACCCGCGCTGCTCTTCCCCGCGCCGACGTCTCCGCTTGCTGTCCGACTGATGCTGCGAATGGAGCTTCGTACAGGCGCGTTGAAACCCGGTCTACTACTACTGACCAGGTCCGCCTTCGGTCGTTCGTCTTCATAAGGCAGAGCGACCCATTCACCCTCGTGAGGCGGTTTGCCGGCTGCGACTTTCCAGTACACTCTGCTTTGGCCCTCGAAGCGGAACCAGACCTTGTGCCGATCGTCCCAGACGCAGTAGCGGCTGGCGATCTTTCGCGCGTCCCCGTACGGATCTCGAGGCGGGGAGAGAGAGAACCGCGAGGAGGCGCCGCTACTGCCGGAGACGGAGGGGTTGTTGCTGCTGTCGCTGGTGCTGTTCCTGGCGCTGTTGCTGGTGCTGTCGCTAGTGCTGTTTCTGGTGCTGGTGCTGGTGCTGTTGCTGGTGCTGGTGCTGGCGCTGCTACCGGTGGAAGGGCGCGAGGTACCGCCTGGAACTGCATAGTCTTCAACCGGTTCTGACGCAGAGCCTGCTCCTCTCAGCCTAGCAGCTTGCGGCGACGCATCCTCACTCGTTCCGTCTGTATACCGGGAATGAGCAGAACTTATAACGGGGATACGACTATTGCTGCTCTCCGGCGATCTGCTTTCCTTCTTCTTGCCTGCGCCTGCGCCTGCGGCGGCTCCTCCCGAAGCTGCAGCAGTCACGCGAGCAGGACTACCACCACCAGTGCTGGTGCTACCACCACCAACTTTCGCCCGCTGGAAAATGGAGAGGAGAGATCGGCTGGGCTTGCTGCTTTCAGAGTCGGAATTGGCTGAATCGGATAGGTGTGGGTGTGAGGTGGTTGGTTGTGGGTGAGAAATGGTCGACTGCGGTTGAGACGTTGTTGATGCGGAACCGATGCTTTCCCACCGCTTTCCCGCGCATTTTGTCAGCACGGGCTTGACATCCATGGCAGTAGCGCTGCAACCCCGGCACTGCTAACTCGTGGTACCGACCAGCACCCACGTGGTACCGATCAGCACCACCGTGGTACCGACCGGCACCGCTAACTCGTCAAACCGACTAGCAATGTTAGCGATGGTGCCTGGTTGTTGTCAGTTTCGAGCGAGGATGTGATTAGACCGTGGTGGATCGGCAATACCGTCAATCTGTCAGCCCAATCTTGATAGGGAAAAGCATTGGCGACATGATGAGATTCTGCAGGAGCACAGACAGAATCAGGACAGCTGTTAAGAGAATTATAGACAGCAAAAGCGGAAACGTGACCGGGACAGCGTCCGCTGGTTTGCCAGGAGTGTGCACTGACGTTAAGGTGGGATGGGAGGATTTCGTGAAAAAAAACGGAGATTAACGGCTCAAAACCTGGGATTGTGCAGCACCAACCTGAACGGTCATCGAAAGTAGTCTCTATCCTTCCAGTCACTGACCAAGGACACCTGCTGAAAAATTTACCCCTCTGGTTCGTACTACCTTAGCAAAGACTGCTACATCGCCAGATTCAGTTAGCATTTAGAACCTTAAAACCCGCGTCTCATATTTCCTAGTGTATTACACTTGGTTGGGCTAAATCGCATGTGATTGGGTAACGATAGGCGAGATTTGTGACGAGCAGTTTTGAAAACACAAACGACCCCTCGGTTCGTCTACGCAAAAGCCAAACAAGCCCCTCAGGCATGGAAAGCTCCCACACCTAGAAAACAGATCCGGCAGTTCCATGCGACCGACTGAAACGACAAGACACCACATCCACCAGGAAACGCAGAGCAAAACTCTCGGCCGTCAGTCTTACTACCTCCGCTTAGGCAGGTTCCTAGGTATGTACCTAGGTACCAAGATGCTGGCCTTAGCACAGCAACAGGGATATAGCAGTCTATTAGAGCCCATTTCGGACCCCTTCGGGGGCCTTGCGAACGAATTTTAGTTGCGGATAACGCACTAGTTGGCGAGTAAGGAATCGTCCAATGTCGGGAACCGTCGCAACGCCATCGCTTGTTACGAGGTAGCCAGTTCGTAACATTCCGAGATGCGTTTTTACTCTGCTATTTACAGCTGTGGAACCCGGAGAAGTGATGTCTCATTTCAGAATGCGCTCGTGTCGTCCATCTACGCCAAGCGCGAGTACGTGAAAGATTCTGCCGTCCTGGGTCTGTGTGCGAGTGGCATATGTGTGGGGTGTGTGTGAAATCTTGGTTGCGTGCGCTTGTGTGCGCGTGCATGCGTGCGTGCGCGAGCGTGCGCGTGCGCGCGTGCGCGTGCGTGCGTGCGTGCGTGTGTGCGTGCGTGCGCACACGCGCGTGCCTGCGCGTACGAATGCGTGCGTGCGTGCGTGCGTGCGTGCGTGCGTGCGTGCGAACGTGCGTGCGTGCGTGCGTGCGCGTGCGTGAGAGCAAGCGTGCATGCGTGCGCACGTGCGCGTGCGTGCGTGCGTGCGGGTGTGCACCCGTATGTATTCTTATCCTTCTCTCCCTTTCCCTCTCTCCCCTCCCCTTCTCTCCTCTTCCTTCTCTCCCCTTCCCTCTCTCCCCTCCCCTTCTCTCCCCTTCCTTCTCTCCCCTTCCCTCTCTCCCCTCCCCTTCTCTCCCCTTCCCTCTCTCCCTTCCCCTTCTCTCCCCTTCCCTCTCTCCCCTCCCCTTCTCTCCCCTTCCCTCTCTCCCCTCCCCTTCTCTCCCCTTCCCTCTCTCCCCTTCCCTCTCTCCCCTACGCTCTCTCCCCTTCCCTCTCTACCCTTCCCTCTCTCCCTCCCCCCTTCCTCTCTCCCCTTCACCCTCTCCTCCTCCTGTCCGGAGTTGTTCTCAGGTCAGCCCATCCACGCCATCAGCAGCTCGCTCCTCTCCCACCCCTCCACCAACCCATTCCCCTCCCCTGCTGCCGCACACGCTTCCGTCAGCGATGATGCTCGTACTCCTCCCACTTCTCCAACACTTCATCTCCTTGGACTCCCACCCTCCAGCACCCGCCACCCCTCTTTCGCCCTCTTCTCATTCCGTCTGGTAACATTCCAGGAACCTTCTCCATGTTCCTTGTGCTGTAATTGCTGCCCCATCCCACCTCCCCATCTTCTCATCCCACCTCCCCATCTCCTCTTCTCCCCTTGTTTCCACCCCCATCCGTCCCCATTTAATCTCTTCTCCCCTCGTTTCCACCCCTATCCGTCCCCTATTAACCTCTTCTTCCCTCGTTTCGACCTCACCATCTCATCTCCCCTTTATGCCTCCAACCACCACTCTCTGCCTTCCCGTCCCCCCTTTTTGCATCCGTCCAGGAAACGCAGAGCAAAACTCTCGGCCGTCAGTCTTACTACCTCCGCTTAGGCAGGTTCCTAGGTATGTACCTAGGTACCAAGATGCTGGCCTTAGCACAGGAACAGGTGCTCCCAACCAAACCCAACAAAGTTGCGACTGACTTGTGAGGTTACCCGGTTTCGAGCGTATTACTCTTGGTTGGAAAGAGGAAATATGAGACGCGGGTTTTAACAACAGGCGGCTGACCGTGCGTGCTACAGCTATCGAAGGACTGCCTGACACCAGGAATCGTCGAGGAAGGCTTTATCCGAAGAGCCGAAGAGCCTTGAGATTACCTGACCTAGGGTTTGTCGACAGCACACATGCGTTCTGGGATTACCCGCTAAAACGCGTATGGATTGAGGATCTTGACTCGGTTCATAAACGAAATGACAACACTCACGTCTATTTGTGTACTATTTCATATTTATCTTTTTCAAAAAAATAACGAAGTCAGCAATATTTGTAAAATACACCGTTCGTTTGAACCACACCGTACCCCTCTTTGTTATAACGAAATCACGACCTATGTTTTATCTAGGGGTCACAGTACCGAGTCTAGCGAGTCAATGCACCGCCGAAAGCGACAATTGCGGCAGCCAATAAGGTAAACTTTGTGAAGTTCTCCGCGTGATGAGCGAAGTCCTGATTCTAATCGAAAAGGACAATACGTTCTTATGATTTGCGTGATTTCGAACCTTCACACACGTGCACTCCCCAACCCAGCCACAATGGCTTGGCTGACGTGGCTAATGCTGCTACCGCTAGCGCGCTTAGCGGGCGTCGCCGAAGCTAGTAACCCGTTCGCCAGTCAGGAACATGAAATCAGAGCCCAGTCGCTATTTGACGTGAGTGGCTACATGAGTCAACTTCGAAGCCTTCCACTCGGCGTGAATTACTGCCTTGGCATTCTGACTAATATTTCCACCCGCCTCTCCTGTCGGTTGCATTAGTAACTTAATCTTCTTTCGTGGCTTCCCGCGTTCCTTCCGTTATAATCACCACCAGGCATGGTCACAGGCGTACGGCCTCGAGAATACCTCCACCCTCCTCCCCCCTTCGCCGCTCGCCATTCCCCCGAACGTTCCCCCTCCGCCCCACCTCGAGGACTGCTCCGCGCGCACCGCTGCGCGCCAGGCGGCGGAAGAGCGGGGGGAGGGCGGAATCCTCCCCGCATGGGCGCGCGGGGAGTCTGGGGAGTGCTGCGGAGGCAACGAGGGGGATGCGGGGGAGGGGGCCAAGGGCGAGAGTGGGGGAAGCGGGGGAAGCGGGGATGATGGGAGGGGGTGCTGTAACTGCGGCCCCCAGCCACCATGGGTGAGTAGGTGGGGGAAGGGTGCACGCATGGGTGGGTGGGTGCTCTCTTCCGCCTACTCCCTTCCCCCTGCCCGCTCCCCCCTACTCGCTTCCGCCTGCTCCCTTCCGCCTGCTCCCTTCCCCGTGCTTTCCTCCCCCCTGCTTCCCTCCCCCCAACTTTCCTCCCCCTGCTTCCCTCCCCCCAACTTTCCTCCCAACTGCTTCCCGCCCACCACCCTCACACTTCCTCCTCTCACCTCCACTCATCCCTCCCTCCTTATCCAGGTACGAGGCTCCGATGCGGCCAATCTCGCGATGACACGTGGCGTGCAGCGCGACATGTGGCGGCACCAGTTCCCCGCCAGCTGTGCCGGGCGGCGGCTGATGCTGACTCGCTGGCCGGGGCTGCACCATGGGATGGGGAGCATGGTGCATGTGGTGGGGGCGTATCTCAGCATTGCCATGCGCAGCAACCGTACACTCGTGCTCATGCCAGGCACTTTTGAAAGGGCCGGGCATGAGTGTGAAGGTGTGTGGGGAGTAAGTTCACCCCCTTCGGCTGATGCTGTCGCGCTGGCCCAGGCTGCAGCACCATGGGATGGGCAGCACGGTGCATGTGGTGGGGTGGGGGCGTATCTCAGCATTGCCATGCGCAGCAATCGAACCCTCGTCTTAATTCCAGGCACCTTTGAGAGAGCCGGGCGCGAGTGTGAAGGTGGGTACGGAATGGGACTGTAGCCCCTTCATACTACCCCGCACCGCACCACACCACACCCCCATTCCCCCGCCTCACCGCTCACCTCCCATCTTCCCAACGCACACGGGCAGTGGGAGGGGTAGAGGGCGGTGCTGCACCATGGGATGAGCAGCACGGTGCATGTGGTGGGGTGGGGGCGTATCTCAGCATTGCCATGCGCAGCAGCCGCACTCTAGTGCTCATGAGGGGTGGGTGGGTGGGGGAAGGCCATGCGCAGCAACAGCAGTCTCGTTCTCACTCCCTTCCCACTCCCCTCCCACTCCCTCCCACTCCCCCTTCCCCGCTCCCCGCTCTCCCCCAACACCTGCGCCAGGCGCAGCAGTGGGAGTGTTACTTCTTCCCCATCTTCCTGTTTCTCCACCCTTCCCCCCACATCCCACTTCCCCCCTCTCCCCCTCTCCCCCTCCCCCAACCCCCCAAAGACCTGCGCCAGGCGCAGCAGTGGGAGTGCTACTTCTTCCCCATCACCCCCCCTGCATGGCCTCCCCTGCATGTGTGCACGAGGCCATGGCAGCACATGACCGCGGGAGTGCAACTTCTCTCCCATCTCTCGATTATTCTTTCTTCCCCTCCCCTCCCTTCCCCCCCTACCTACCTCTCCCCCCACCCCCACTCCCCCTCCCTTTCAAGACCTGCGCCAGGCGCAGCAGTGGGAGTGTTACTTCTTCCCCATCGCCTCCCCTGCATGCGTGCAAGAGGCCGTGGCAGCACATGACCGAGGGGACGCTCCAGATATCCGGGGAGATGACGTGAGAGAGAGCATGCTGGGTGGCGACACGCAGGTTAGTGGGGGCCTTGTGGGGGGTCTCACATGAAAGCACAGGACCGCGGGGAGGCTCCTAATATCCGGGGAGATGACGTGAGAGAGAGCATGCTGGGTGGCGACACGCAGGTTAGTGGGGGCCTTGTGGGGGGTCTCACATGAAAGCACAGGACTGCGGGGAGGCTCCTAATATCCGGGGAGATGACGTGAGAGAGAGCATGCTGGGTGGCGACACGCAGGTTAGTGGGGGCCTTGTGGGGGGTCTCACATGAAAGCACAGGACCGCGGGGAGGCTCCTAATATCCGGGGAGATGACGTGAGAGAGAGCATGCTGGCTGGAGACACGCAGGTTAGTGGGGGCCTTGTGGGGGGTCTCACATGAAAGCACAGGACCGCGGGGAGGCTCCTAATATCCGGGGAGATGACGTGAGAGAGAGCATGCTGGGTGGAGACACGCAGGTTAGTGGGGGCCTTGTGGGGGGTCTCACATGAAAGCACAGGACCGCGGGGAGGCTCCTAATATCCGGGGAGATGACGTGAGAGAGAGCATGCTGGGTGGAGACACGCAGGTTAGTGGGGGCCTTGTGGGGGGTCTCACATGAAAGCACAGGACCGCGGGGAGGCTCCTAATATCCGGGGAGATGACGTGAGAGAGAGCATGCTGGCTGGAGACACGCAGGTTAGTGGGGGCCTTGTGGGGGGTCTCACATGAAAGCACAGGACCGCGGGGAGGCTCCTAATATCCGGGGAGATGACGTGAGAGAGAGCATGCTGGGTGGCGACACGCAGGTTAGTGGGGGCCTTGTGGGGGGTCTCACATGAAAGCACAGGACCGCGGGGAGGCTCCTAATATCCGGGGAGATGACGTGAGAGAGAGCATGCTGGCTGGAGACACGCAGGTTAGTGGGGGCCTTGTGGGGGGTCTCACATGAAAGCACAGGACCGCGGGGAGGCTCCTAATATCCGGGGAGATGACGTGAGAGAGAGCATGCTGGGTGGAGACACGCAGGTTAGTGGGGGCCTTGTGGGGGGTCTCACATGAAAGCACAGGACCGCGGGGAGGCTCCTAATATCCGGGGAGATGACGTGAGAGAGAGCATGCTGGCTGGAGACACGCAGGTTAGTGGGGGCCTTGTGGGGGGTCTCACATGAAAGCACAGGACCGCAGGGAGGCTCCTAATATCCGGGGAGATGACGTGAGAGAGAGCATGCTGGGTGGCGACACGCAGGTTAGTGGGGGCCTTGTGGGGGGTCTCACATGAAAGCACAGGACCGCGGGGAGGCTCCTAATATCCGGGGAGATGACGTGAGAGAGAGCATGCTGGCTGGCGACACGCAGGTTAGTGGGGGCCTTGTGGGGGGTCTCACATGAAAGCACAGGACCGCGGGGAGGCTCCTAATATCCGGGGAGATGACGTGAGAGAGAGCATGCTGGGTGGAGACACGCAGGTTAGTGGGGGCCTTGTGGGGGGTCTCACATGAAAGCACAGGACCGCGGGGAGGCTCCTAATATCCGGGGAGATGACGTGAGAGAGAGCATGCTGGGTGGAGACACGCAGGTTAGTGGGGGCCTTGTGGGGGGTCTCACATGAAAGCACAGGACCGCGGGGAGGCTCCTAATATCCGGGGAGATGACGTGAGAGAGAGCATGCTGGGTGGCGACACGCAGGTTAGTGGGGGCCTTGTGGGGGGTCTCACATGAAAGCACAGGACCGCGGGGAGGCTCCAGATATCCGGGGAGATGACGTGAGAGAGAGCATGCTGGGTGGCGACACGCAGGTTAGTGGGGGCCTTGTGGGGGGTCTCACATGAAAGCACAGGACCGCGGGGAGGCTCCTAATATCCGGGGAGATGACGTGAGAGAGAGCATGCTGGGTGGCGACACGCAGGTTAGTGGGGGCCTTGTGGGGGGTCTCACATGAAAGCACAGGACCGCGGGGAGGCTCCTAATATCCGGGGAGATGACGTGAGAGAGAGCATGCTGGGTGGCGACACGCAGGTTAGTGGGGGCCTTGTGGGGGGTCTCACATGAAAGCACAGGACCGCGGGGAGGCTCCTAATATCCGGGGAGATGACGTGAGAGAGAGCATGCTGGGTGGCGACACGCAGGTTAGTGGGGGCCTTGTGGGGGGTCTCACATGAAAGCACAGGACCGCGGGGAGGCTCCTAATATCCGGGGAGATGACGTGAGAGAGAGCATGCTGGGTGGCGACACGCAGGTTAGTGGGGGCCTTGTGGGGGGTCTCACATGAAAGCACAGGACCGCGGGGAGGCTCCTAATATCCGGGGAGATGACGTGAGAGAGAGCATGCTGGGTGGCGACACGCAGGTTAGTGGGGGCCTTGTGGGGGGTCTCACATGAAAGCACAGGACCGCGGGGAGGCTCCAGATATCCGGGGAGATGACGTGAGAGAGAGCATGCTGGGTGGAGACACGCAGGTTAGTGGGGGCCTTGTGGGGGGTCTCACATGAAAGCACAGGACCGCGGGGAGGCTCCTAATATCCGGGGAGATGACGTGAGAGAGAGCATGCTGGGTGGCGACACGCAGGTTAGTGGGGGCCTTGTGGGGGGTCTCACATGAAAGCACAGGACCGCGGGGAGGCTCCTAATATCCGGGGAGATGACGTGAGAGAGAGCATGCTGGGTGGCGACAC